CGCATTTATAATATTAGTATGGATATTTTACATATATAGCCGTTTTGCTTTCCGTTGAGTATAACGGATCTACTTCCCTGGCGAAGCTAGAATCATAGGATACTTTCAGACATAGCAAATGAGAGGTGTATCTTTGACGTTTCCATTACTTCCCTTTTTACAAAATCAATACACGAGATAAAATTAGATCAAAACATATACCTAAATAAAATCGTTAGGAACAAATTTCATCCATTCTGGTTTAATGTCGTTTCTGCCAGATTAGTGGCCGGGAGGAAGACTTCCAATTACATCTCAGACACATAGATCAAACTACATAAAAAAATTAATTACTAATATTATTATTATTGTTACAAAAACCCTGTTCACTTTTATCTCACCTTCTTAGAGCTTAATTAAAAGTGGAAAAAACTACCATGTTCCAATGGCTTACGTCGCTTCGCAATGCAACATTGAATCAGGACGATCAAACCAGACAGCAAGTAGTAGTCATGGCTACTGACTATTACTGCGTCCACGCTTTTTAACTAGTTATTTAAATATACAATACCATACTAATAATTATAGAAATATACATTGTAGAAACTTTTTATCGATGTTGTACTAAAATATGGCTGGTATTTTTTTGAGAAGATAGCAGTTCACCTGATTTTATTTATTTATTAAAAAAAAGGATTACAAAGGGCGGACTTAATGCCATTTGGGCATTCTCTCCCAGTCAACCCGGAGCGTGGAGAGAGTTCGTGATAGGTGCAATAAGCTAAAAAAGATCATAAACACTAATTAAAAATATCAAAAATGCAAATACTTACATAATGTAAAAACTTTTAAACTTTACCTTAATATTTATATCAACTCTATAATAATAAATAAATATGAACATATATAGCATATATATTTATAAATATATAAATATATATATATATATACATACACACATATATATATATATACACGCACTCGCAATCACACACACAAACACGCGTAAAAATTAGTAACAAACGACAACATTCACTAGTTGATGATATTCTTCTTTAAGTAATAGTCTCGTACTAACCGCTTAAACGAGGTTCTGCTAGGTGCTATTTGAATGTCTTCAGGTAAGGAGTTCCAGAGCAGTGCAACCTGAACGGTAAAAGATTTACCAAAGAAAGTAGTGGCGTGGAGTGGAATTTTAATCTTTAGATTAGATGAAGAACGAAGATGTCATTCATTAGATTGAGAGAGGTATTGAAATTTATCCTTAAGATAAGGCGAAGAAGCTCGATCATTTAAAATTGATAACCTGATGTTAAGTGATTACCGGTCCCATTGACGTTTGCGACACCCGTATGGTTTCAGATGCATGCCACCTTTTGTGGCTTGTGGAATGGACATGCCGTTTATCGCACAAATCTTCAATGTGGACATTTAAGTTGCTATAACTTTTTTATTTATGTACCGATTCAAATAAACTAACAACAAGCAACAAAAGGTAAGGCCAAGCAACAGCCGAGGCTGCGGCTTGGCCCTACCAACGAAGTTTGTGTGTAGTAGTAACAGTTTTGTGTAGTTTGCGAACGATGAACGAGCAGGAAACGTATCTTTATAACAGTTAGCATTCGGAAACGTTACTCATAGTACATAACTAAACTTGGAAAACTGCTCATATTATACCTCTCCCTAAAAAACCTAATCCCGATAATTATTCCGATTTTCGTCCAATTTCGATCTTACCTTTCTTTTCCAAAGTACTTGAAAAGCTCATTTACCAACAGTTGAACTTTTTTCTTAACACTCATAATTTGTTCAATCCCTTACAATCTAGTTTCCGTCCTGGTCACAGTACGGTTACTGCCCTAATTAAAGTTACCGATGACATTCATTTGGGTATGGACAATAAACAGCTCACAGTTATGACCTTGTTGGATTTCAGCAATGCTTTTAATACAGTTGATTTGCATATTCTGTTGAGTCAGCTGTGTTCACTTAATTTATCACCATCAGTAATTGACTGGTTTCAAAGTTATCTCAATGGACGTCAGCAGCGTTTTCGCGTTGATGAAACACTTTCATCTTGGTTTGATACTACTGCTGGCGTACCACAAGGCGGCATGCTGTCACCTTTACTTTTTTCTATTTTCATTAATTCAATCACTCAAAAAATTTCTTCTCTCTAACATATGTATGCGAATGATATCCAGATTTACACCCAGTCAACACTTGAGAATCTGCCAGTAGCTATCGCCATTATGAACAATGACTTAAATCACATACATGAGTGGAGTAAATCACATGGCCTCATTATCAATCCCAATAAGTCAAAAGCAAAAACTGTTGGCAGCCGGTCCTTCATATCAAGAATTGACTGGTTATCATTACCGCCAATTAAAATCAATGGAGTTATAATCCCATACTGTGATTATGTCAAAACCTTAGCCATTTATCTCGACAGTACCTTAAGCTGGACACACCATCTAAATGAAGTTAATAGGAGAATTTTTGTAGCTCCCAGGTCTATGCGTCGCCTTCGATCAATTCTCCCCATTCCTACAAAAATTATGCTTGCACAAACTCTTCTCCTTCCGATTCTCGATTATGCTGACGAACGAAATAAACTTGAGAGACTCCAAAATACTAGCAATCGGTTCATATTTGGGTTGCGTAAATATGACCACGTTTCTCAATTTCGTAAACGTCTCAAGTGGTTACCCATCCGATTTCGCCGGAATTTACATATCCTTTCTGTATTGTACTGCCTTGTTTCATGGTTGTACTCCACCATATCTAAAGGAGAAATTTGAGTTTTTAGGGCTTCCAGGGGAAGATCTACGTTCTTCGAGGAAGCTCATTTTAAAGGTGCCAAATTACAAAACGTCGTTTTATGAAAAAAAATTTACCATACAGGCCATAAAGCTCTGGAATTCCTTGCCTTTAGTTTTACGTGAGGCGCAATCTATTGGCACTTTTAAAAATTTAGTAAGAGCACTACCTGTCACAATCACCTGAGTAGTATTAGGATTAAATACTATTCATGTCTGAGGTCTATATGTGTATATATATATATATATATGTATATATATATATATATATATATATATATATATATATATATATATATATATATATATATGTATATATATATATATATGTATAGTATATGTATATAATATATATATGTATATTTGTGTATTATGTATATTTCTATTGCACCACCTACGTAGTATACGTTTCCTTTAAGCCATTGGTTGCCTGGAAGAGATCGCTATGAAGCGATAAGGCCGCCAAATTGTACATTGCATAAATTTGTTGTTCTATTGTTACTTTTATGTATATTCTTATTTGTAGTGGACAATAAAAGTGTATTCATACATTTATTCATTCATACATAAGTAACATTTCCGAATGCTAACTTTTAATCGGTCTAATAGCTCTTTCGTTCTTTCTATTCATCTACCTGCACTAACACGGAACGAATCGAACACGAGCGAAAGAGACAGAGTTGATCGGTAACCGGTGACTGAGAAAAATGAGTAAATCGGAAAAGGGCATTTAAACTGAGACTATGGAGATTACTGTGGTAACGATGCAAAAAGGCGAGTCTAATGTCTATGTAATAAGTACAAGTGTTTTACTAAAAAAAAGTTAAACTATGAGAATGTAAGATAGTTAAGGTAAAATATAGTGGAGTATTTGTACTATTTACTCTTTAAATACTAATTACACAATGACATTTCTTGATTAATAAAGCTAATAGAATCAATAGAATGAACTAGTTCACTGTCCGAAATGACCTGAGTACATAGTGTTTTTTTAAATGAGCAAGGCCGAGCATGCACAAGACTATTAGGCATGATCAAAAAGTATTGATATATTAGTATCAAAAAGTATTGATGTAAGTCCATTTTTTTAACGAAAAACAAAACCGACGTCAAATATCTCGCTCGCTATTCATTTTATAAGTAATTGATTTTCAAGAGTTCCCTAAGTATGTCCGGAGACCAAGATCCCACACCAATGAAATTAATATGGGTACACATGGGAAGCACCAGCTTTCAAATAAAAATGAATCATCAAAATCGGTTCACTGAATCGAAAGTTCCGAGAAAACAAACATAAAAAAATACAGTCGAATTGAGAGCCTCCTCCTTTTTTGAAGTCGGTTGAAAATGTTGATTTTTTTTTTAACAAATCAACTATTTTTTTCATATTTAATTGCCTATGTTCAAAAATGTCGATACAATAAATCGATATATATTTACTTTTACTTGCCCATCCCTTAATCTAATTATATTTACAGTTTACACCGATTGCCGCATTTGATTCTCTTGATTTCGACATGCTAGTGTCATCTACCTCTTATTTGTATAGATACAATATCATTGACTTCATTATTAAATGACATAATTAATGTAGTTGCGAAAATGTAGCGGAGAGAATGATATCATCGTTTCGTTGTTGGGTATTAATTATCAATTCCGTTATTCTAATCAGACCGCGGGTCATCTGCTGGCGGATATTTTCAAACAAAGCTGTAAAAAAAAGCAAATTATACTACACAAAAAATGTATACGGTTTGGTATTGCTGTATATCGATATGATTTATTTTGATAAAGGATAGTAATTTATGATTTCATTTCTCACTTGTTGTATTCTAAAATTACTTTTTACCTATCTCTGATCGTCTACTTACTTACATTATATACTTAATAATAATTTTCTTTTAAAATTTCTTCATCTTAAAATAATATACAAGTACTTATCATTAAATAACTACTTGAAGTAGAGTCGGGTTATGAAAAAAGATAACCAAGGAAGTGATGAAAAACGAAACGCCATACCCGTCAAACAACAGATGTTAAACGTCAAAGTACGCCTAGCTACAATTTCTCAAATCAAAAGTCAATTCTTTATTCAATAATTCTTGATACTTTATTATGAAATTTTAGTATCTAGTCAAATATTGTGACCATATTATGTGAAATCTTCTCAGTGTGGTTTGGTCTCATATTAAATTGAAAATGGAACTACCATTTGAAGTAAGTCAAAAATAAATTTAAACTTGCTGGTTCTTTGTTTGCCATTTATATAATTTTTTTCACGTGATTGATTGCTCTTGATATAGGTTTATCTCGAGTTCAAAAAGACTTGCATACATTAATCTTAATTTTTCACTGATTCTATGATAAGCAATCATTTTAAGTATTTGTTTTCATTAATATGGAAATTATAAATCATATTGGTTTGTATTTTTTCAGGTATTAGTATATCTTTTTAAATATTTGCCAAAATCTGACAGGAAATCTGCAAGTGAAACATGTCAATCATGGTACCTAGCTGCAAATGCACATTGCTTTTTAAAGAATAAAGTAGTTGTTTTGTACAAATCTGTACTTAATGATGTTGAATCGTCACCCTTGAATACATTTGAAAACTCTGCTATCATTTATAGCAACTATCTCTTTAATGAAGTGGAAATATCAAATAAATTAAATGGATTTTGGGACAGAATAGGAGGAAACATAAAAAGCTTGACTTTTAGAAACTGTGATATTTGTGAAAAGGTGTTTGCATACATTTTACAAAAATGTACAAATTTAGAATCACTAAATATAGAGAGTTGCAAAGAACTGTTTATGTCTGGCCGCTTATTAGAAGGTAAAACAGATGGCTTGTTCATTAACAATCTGGAGAACTTAAGATCATTGAGTTTGTCAGGTAATCAATACCTGACTGATGCATTATTCAGCCGCTTTATAAAAGCAGCTCCATTTCTGGAACATCTTAACTTATCTGGGTGCTCTTTGCAATTTCACTTAGGATTGGTTAAAAAATTTTATCCTCCTAAAAGCAATATCTTTGAAAACCCTTCAGAGAGTGTTTTGACATTCTATTTTGTTTTACAATTTATAACTTCTTACTCCCCTAACATAAAAAGCCTGCAATTTTCAAACACTCTTATAGATGGAGCAGCCCTTAAAACTTTATCAGAAACACAAAAGCTCAAACTAAGTAGCCTAGAAGTTTACTCCTGTGATCAGCTGACAAACACTGGAATACTGGCCTTGACATTATGTCAAACATCCTTGAAAGAACTAGATATAGGCTTGTGTACAAGAGTAACTGACCAGTCATTAGTGCATATTTGCAATAACTTAGTAAATTTAGAACTTTTAAACATTCAAAGATGTAGAGCTGTAACTGATTTAGGTATATCTGAACTTTATAAGTTAAAAAATTTGAAGTCACTAAATATTTCTCAATGTGAATTAATAACAAAAGATGGGCTGCAAAAAGGTATATGCTCTGAAGAAAATATTGTTTTGGAAGATTTAGATTTACATTCATTGAATTTAGACCAATCTGGAGTTATAATGATCTCTGAGAGATTACCTAATTTGCGTTCTTTAGATTTAAGTTACTGTTTTAATGCAGTGACTGATACATCAATACAGGTAGTGTTTAAAAATCAAATTTTCTTACACACATTAAAAATAAGTCATTGTGACAAAGTTTCGGATGCAGGTTTAACTGGTATGGGAAAAATACAAGAATGTGATGATAATGCACCTATAATGTCAAATTATGATGATGCTCAAATCAATCATAGAATACATCTAGGCTCAAGAGCCGAAGAAGAAATTGTACGAGATGCACAAAGAAAAAGAGATGTTATGCGTATGTGTGAAAAACTGTCAATGGATTCATACACAGGCTATTCTTTAGCACGTTTGAAATGTCTTAGAATACTAGACATAAGTGGTTGCAATAGAATTACAGATGTAAGCTTAACATATGCATTTACCTTTAAAGAACTTATTAATCTTAACTTGAGTAGATGCCAACAAATAAGTCATGAAGGTATTGGACACCTAATAAAAAATTGTCCAAGTATAGAATACTTTAACCTTACGGACTGCTATAATTTAAAAGATGAAGCTGTTAAAGAAATTGTCAAGGGCTTAAGAAGATTGCAGCAGTTGGAATTGCGGGTAATTTTGAACTGTGATTAAAAAATATTATAATTTTGTTTTTATATGTACCTCAATGAGTAGTATAAAATGTTGAAATGTTTTTAGGGTTGCAATCAACTGACAGATAAAACATTGGAGGCAGTAAGATCTTATTGTGAGAAACTGAAGTGTTTGGATGTACAAGGATGCCGCTACATTTCACCTGAGCTTGCTTGTGCTATTGGATGCCTGCCAACTTTGCACACTGTCTTGATGTCTAAACCAGGACCTTACATCACTGACGGCGTCAAAAACAGGTCCCCAGCTCCTACGTTTTTGCCAGCTTTAATGAGGAAATTACGCTTACATTAAAATCATTTAATATAAATTTCATTGAACTATTGTAAATAGGTGTGATTAAAAATTTGTACACACAAACTTATTTTATGTTTCTTATAAAAAATATTGTCTATTGTTTTAATCACAGCTTGTCAATTATTATTGAAACATTTTCTACTGCAATAAGTTTAATCAATTTGAATATATTTTAACATTTTTAATAAATTTATACTAATGATAATGTAAACAAACACCTACAACAATTAATAACATTCCTACTGCTGTAATTTCATTTAATCTAGTGATAGTTTAATACTGATCATTTACTAAAATCAAAAAAATGTATGCTTCATTTATTTGCATAAGTATTAAAAAAACTTTAATGTACATCATACAGTTTAATATAGAATAGGGCAGATGCATTTAAAGCTCATTGTCAGACAGCTATATCAATACAAAAAATATCTTGTGAGTAGTTCATATAAACCTAGTCATTTGAGTGTTAAATCAATTTCATTTAAGCAAAAGTCATGATTGATTTGCTCCTCCAAATTATTTTAATGAATTTAATTTAAAAATATAATATATTCACTGCAAGCTCTTATTTTTAACTAACATATCACAGATATAGTATACCCAGAAATGCAATATTTTTTGGTCACACAACACTGGGTGAACACTAATATTTGTACTATCCCTGTTACTTCACGTTCACTTGTTACTTCTATCGTTCTAATGAACAGATGTAAAGGTTTTTACTTTTTTTTTAATTGAGAAACATTTTACTCATTAAAGAAAAATGATTATGACGTATTGTGATATTAAAAATGCTGTGATAACAGTAACACTCATTGTACATTTATAACAATTACAGTGCTCTAGCTAAATTATTATATTATCTATAATATAACATGTTTTATTGTAATACGAAATTATTAAAATCACCGAATAATTTTACGAAGGTGATGGTATATGCAGTGCATTTTCGTTAATATTATGTATTTAATAAATCTTGTCTTTTATTTAATTAACTACTTTAGTCACAAGTTCTTCACAGGACAAGGAAAAAGAGCTTGACTTCGCTCCTAAAGAGTTTAAAGAACTACTTAAGTTACTCGATACCAGTGAAAATTATAAATTAACTCTACGTGTGTGAGCAGACCGCCAACTGTGGCAATTCGAGACGTGCATCGCAGGAAGGCGGCATGTCTAGGGAGCTGCAAATGAGTGATCGAAATAATTTTATTATCCTCCTGCCCCTATACCACCTGGGTGCGGTCACCTGGTGGCCTGACTGATCTCCTTGGGAATCAAACACCCGTATTCGGAACAATTATCTGTGGGGCACACAAATACTTGTCCTGTGTGGAAATCGAACCCAGGACCCCTGACACCGAAGCCAAAAGCTTAGGAACGGCGCCACCGAGTCATCGAGGTATCGAAATGGAATGCACCGGTGTCCCTCGGTACTACTCCTGAGCACGCCTCGGAGAAGGCTAAACCTCGGAGAAGGCTAAACCTTCTCCGATCCCCTCCCCCTCTAGCAGGAGCACGAGATTACTTCGTGCTGCTGCCCATCCGTGTCCTCTTTTAGTCGTCTTTTACGACAGGCAAGGGATACCTTAGCCCTATTCTATGAGCCAGGGACTACAAAGCTGACCCGACTTAATCACATCGAACCCTAACCTGAATTTCTATCTAAACTCCTACCCGACGGATGGTGGTATATTCAACCTAGAATGCGTGACCTACAAATGCACAAACCGCTGAAAGGCTGCACTGATGCGAGATATAAACGGCGAGTACATCTCACACCTAGGATTTTTCGATGACAAACTTCGTGATTACGTATTCGTTACAGGATCTACAATGATGCTACCGATATAGCTGAATCTTGAAATCTAGGTGAATTGGTCTCGGTATGGACATGGACAAAAATCATGTGTGTAAGAGACGGAATATCATTGACGGGAACACGCTTGCAGCTATTTAGAAATACATTTACCTAATTTACCTTGGGCTTAGAGCTGCGGATGGATAAAAACTACTTTGTAGGTCAAATCGACCGTAGAATTAGGCTGGATTGGGGCGCCTTCGGCAAACTTCGTCAAGTTGTTTCGTCGTTAATTTTACAGTCTCTTAACATAAAGGTCTACAATCAGTATGTCCTACAGGTCATGATCTACGCCGCGGAATCGTGGTCACCAATCACGGCGGGACAAATCCATAATTTGAAAATCGTTCAACGTGTCATGGAGAGTGAATACGGTGCACAATCCGAAATGAGGTAACTGAACAGTGAACAACCGTGGCTCACTGATGGGTTGCCTCATTTCGGATTCGGCTCGGCGTGGTTTTCTATCGATCAATTTTATAAGTAAGAAGTGCGCTGCTCACATGCTCGCAGTACCAACAGTCAATAGTTTTTGAGACCACGTTTAGGCAAACGTAGAATAGAAAGCCCTGAAGCCAGGTGGAGTGATGACTTGTACAAGGTTGCTACTAGCATCAACAAAGGCATAAAGGCATAAATTCGAGTCATATTCTGTTTGCCATGAGAGGTCTTCGCTTTTAATGATGTTATGAGGTTAATGATGATACCTGAATTAAGGAAGGAATCGTCAATCAGTTTGGTGTCAAAAATCATAATAACGAATGTGGGTTTAAGTTGAACAATTCGCGGCCAGTGCTAGGTTAACACGTTCAGTGCCACCGACTCGCCCGGCGAGTTCACGTAAATTTTATTCCAGTGCCGACGACTCGCCTGGCGAGTTCAGTGTTTTTCACCAATATTTCGAAAATGCATCCGTATTTTCTGCTCAAAATTATAGTTTAGACTAAATATATGCTAAACTAAAGATTTACGAGGTGGGCCGGGTGCGGAGACCCCGTTTATATTTGAATGGAAAAAAACTATTCTGCAATGCCTTGAACTCGCTAGGCGAGTTCGCTGCCATAGATCCTCAACCTTTTAAAGTAAATATGTCGCGACGTCAACATAGTAGCAAGGACTACCTACATACTTGTGATATGGAACCAATATACCACAAACTACAGTGGAATCTTAATAACTCGAATGTTAAGGGAAATGCTAACAATTTCGAACGAGTTTTCGACTTACCAAAAACTTCGAGATACATATGATTTAAATGCGCTGAAACTTCGACTTAAAAATTAATACTGACGGACAAGCTCCGTTAAAAGTAATCGTGTCGACAAGGAACAAACATAACACAGCTGTGTTACTTATAAAGTTTTATGATTGTTTTCATTCATTGCACGTGTATAAGACAAAAACAATAGATTAGAAGCCCCGAACCCGAACATTCATTTTGGATTTTATTGCTATTATTTCGGGGAATTCCAAGTAAGACGTCATTATATTGTACTAACTACGACTTACGGAGTCTCCTTTTAGAAATTCGAGTTATAGAGTATTACATAAATATGTACTATCAATACTTCGTTGCCAGCCTTATACGGCCCGGCGACAGCAATTTGGATGCTGCCTTTTATATCTAGTTTATTTTCCTTTATTTTTCCTTTCCTTATAAATTTAGTTAAATAGATTTTTTATACACAATGTTTTATATAAGTAATAATATAGTTTTTAATTTAATTGTAATTTTAAGATAGATTTAATTTTTACCCTGTTATTAAGCCAAGTAAGAATATATAATATATAAATACTTCGTAGGGAAATAACATTTTGTTCAAGTTATATAGTCTTAATAATTTAAGATATATCGCGTATCTAGGGGTTCAGTGGAAGGGAATGGCAATTCTTTTCGACTTAACGAGGTTCGAGTTATAGAGATTCCATCTTAGTTTCATTAGAATAAAAAACAAGCTTAAGAAATACAGAGTTATCATAATATTTGAGATCACATAAATCTTGTGGCTTTGCAAAGGGTTGAAAATGTTTTTTTATAAAGGGTCGGCATTGATAAAGCTGCTGGCAAAAAAACAACAGCGCGCCGCTGTTTTTGAAGAACAAAAGCACTGATAACATTGTTTTTTGCGAAGCTCTCATTGGCTAATGTTAAATCGCACTCCAAGAATGCACTTGCAACTAAATATTCAATTTCAGTGCTCTGTACGACCCTTTCGTCATCGCATGCGTTTATCTGTTCTCTACTTTAGTGACCTGGCTTACATTTACTGGACTCCCGTGTTTTGATTACCTTGGCTTGCGATTACTGGACTTGTTTGAGTGCTGTTTCGACTATACCTTTGCTTACGATTACCGGACCTGTTAGATACTGTTTGAACTACTTTGGCAAACGTTTACTGGACTTGAGTGTTCTCGTGTCTACCTTAAGTTGCCACAGCTGGAATTTTGAAAATCGGTGAGTACTCTCCATTTTGGTTTATTTATTAAATGGAAAGTCTACTTTATCAGAGTGTAACTCTATCTAAATCTTTCCTTGATTTAACGTCATTTCATGATTCCTAAGTAGGCCTTAAAACTGTGCAAAACTTACATGGGGTGATTCAAGACCGCGTGAAACGGGGGACCTAATTTTTTTCTTTGGACGTCAATCTTCCGGCTAACCTGTATAAGCCAGAGAGATTCATTGATTTGTTTGTTTCATAATGTTAAAAAAGTTTATTAAAGTAGTACAAATTAATGTTTTGTTCCAAGGTTATGGATTCTTACGACAACCCAGTACCTGGAACTTCTCATTCCTGGGACGATCCTGCTTGGAATACCCTCCACATCGAGGAGACACTCGCAGTTATGGATTCGTTTATCGAAGAACCAAACAGAGAAGAAAACAAATTTACTTATCCATTCACCTCAATATCCAATCACGGATTCTGAATTATTGGGGATATTGTCAGAAAATGTATTGGATGAATTGGAGACAGATAATGATGGTGACTCTGATCCCGAATTTTTCGAAAATGCACATGAAAATGCTCAAGAAGACTATGTTACGCCTGGTGAAGCATGGTTTCCCGGAAACCCGACATCTAATATAACCGAATTCCAATTCCTGAAGACCCCCGGACTGAAAGAAGATGTTGTTGATGAGCCTATTAATTATTTCGACGCATTGTGTTCTTCTAATCTGCTGGAATTACTTAAAGACTGCTCCAATGAATATGGAGAAATAGAAAAAAAATCTACCGCGGCCACAAAAAGCAGAAAAAAATCTTGGAAGCCTGTAACCAGTCAAGAAATGAAATTGTTTTTCGGTCTCATATTTTCATATGGGATTTATAAAGATAAATCGCTTGAATGACTACTGGAAAAACGATGCGTATTTTGATCAACCTATATTTGGAAGGGCAATGTCACGGAATCGATTTATTTTAATTTTGAGAATGTTATGTGTGTATGTAGGACAAGTGACGTGCAGTTATGATAAAGTTAAAAATATAATCGATTACTTTAATGAAAAAATATTTTCTTTATATTATCCAACAAAAAAAATTACCATTGACGAATCAATGATGTTATGGCGGGGACGATTGTCATTTAGACAATATATGAAGGGAAAGCGCCATAAATACGGCCTAAAATTCTACGCACTGGCTGACCAGCTCGGGGTTATTATGAAACTACATTTATACGGCGGTGCATCTGATGCTCTCGTAGGCGGCAAAAATCACGTGCAAAAAGTAGTTGACCACTTGCTTCATGATTTTATTAATGTAGGACATCATTTGTTCGTAGACAATTATTATACAAGCGTCAGTTTAGTTGAAAAATTATTTTCTAATAAAACCTTTTGCACAGGTACGCTTCGTCAGAAGAGAAAAAATAATCCAAAAGAAATTGAATCCGCGAAATTAAAAAAAGGAGAACTATGCATTGTTCACAAGAATAATGTTTGTGTATTAAAATGGATAGACCAAAGAGAAATAAGGGCTATATCAAGTAAATATAATGGGGATTTAGAACTCACGCGAAATCGACGGGGTACTTTGAAATTAAAGCCACAAATGGTTATTAAATACAATAAATGTATGAAAGCAATCGATCGACATGACCAAATGTTGTCTTATTATTCATGCGAGCACAAATCGTTGCGATGGTATAAAAAGGTAATCATACATGTTATGCAAATTCTATTGGTCAACTCCTTTTTATTATATAACAAATACAATTCAAAAAAATTAACATTGTATGATTTCCGCTTAAGTGTAATTAAGTCAATAATAGAACCTCATTTGCCTCCCACATTACAAAGGCCTTTAATGAATAAAATTCATTGTATTATGAAACTACCAAAAGATACCCACGGCAAAACAAAGAGAAGGCGTTGTAATCAATGTTGGCGCACATTAAAAAAAAGGGTTCAAACTGCATTCGCATGCGAAGATTGCCCAGGTCAGCCAGGATTGTGTATTGAGTGTTTTAGACCGCACCATAAATATTAAGAGCATTTATACCATCCACTAGCATCACTTACTAGTAAAAGCCTTTAAGATCGTACTAAAAATTTTTGTGTTGCCTAAAAATGTTGATTTAAATTGTTTTGTGTTATAAAAATAAAAGTTGATTTACATAATGTTTTATTTACTTAACTAATTTCCACCACTTAACAAACACAATATCACAAATTATTATTCATTAACATAGCAGCATTTAGACTCAGTCTTGTGGATTAAATTAATAAGTAAAACTAATCAATATATTGATAGTATTTATTAATAATCATTCATAGATTCTTTTGCGTTTCTATCATTACATAACTTTCAACCCAATTATCAGAGACCTTAATTATTAATTTATGAATTGTTTTCAATCAGTCTAATAATCTGATACATAACAAAGCGCCTTTTAAACATTGGCACATTGGCAAGTTCACGTCCAATAAAAATGCCAAAGCTTTCGTTGGCCATTTCTATATACTTAGAATTATCACCTGTAGTATTAGTTTGAGTGCTGCTTTCAGTAAGATTTAAGTTTTTCGTATTTGTTGAAATGTCACATGTTTGATAGTTATTATTGTCGTCATCCCAGTCTTGAGAATCATTTTCAAACAGAACCTTCATCGAGTTGTCTTCAGTGTAATTTTGGAGATTTCCTAAAATAAAATAAAAATAGGAATAAAGCAGCTTTTAAATATTACATGTTTTTTATGTAAACAAGTGATGAGACGTGCTGGACATTCACACGATGGTAAGCGTCATGCCAGCTCATAACAGTTGCAGTGCTACCCATTGCTTTGATTTACAGTCATTGGATGCACTGCACTGCGCTCATCAATGTGAGAAGTCAGTTCTTGAGTCTCATGTGCCCAGTTATTTCACTAGCTACAGTGCCATTCAAACAGGAACAGAGCATTACTATTTGGCGGCTGAATATCTGGCACTGCTGGTGTCCACCACAGGTAGTCGTACCTAGCATAAAAGGCCTACCACCTGGTAAAACGTTGTTAAGATAAGTAAAATGAAAATAATCAATAACAAAACAAACACGTTACCTTCTATGCATGGTCGCTTTGTAGGTCTCTCCTCCTCCATCTGAGTTAAATCGTCGTCGTAAGGCTCCCGTTTCTGCCACAAACCGCGCTAAAAAAATATCAGGCACTTCTTAACAAACGAACGTAATAAAATGTTGTTTCATTTAAAGACACTATAATTATTGCATATTAATAAGTTATCATTTAATTTTAATTCGACAGATTTTAAACGTTTTCAAAAACTATTTTTTTTAATTGTTATCAATTAAATTCGCAATAAAAATTATATATTTTAATCTGATACAATATTCTTAAAACTGAGAGCCCGTATTTCAGGGTAAAATTGTCTATTTACAAGTACATATTACAAAATTCAAAATATAACCTTAACAGTAACCACAGTTAAAAAGATTGACAACCACTGCTTAAATTACGAAACACACTTACCTTTTTTTTTATCCGAAGAGTTTTTTGCCATTTTTACAAGCTAAAACACTTTTTAAAGAAAAAAGACAAGTCCTAAAACACTTTTTAATTGCGTTGTACACTGTGACGGCCACAAAAATAACAAAACATAGAATTTACCATAAGTAGTGCCAGTGAACTCGCGTGGCGAGTCGATTCAATTTATATAGCAGTGCCGGCGACTCACCTGGTGAGTCCACCGGAAAATGTAGGCGGCATCTGAGAAGACATCATGAAAATCGTAGTGGTAATGAACGTGTTAACCACTTAGCAAGAGTAGCAATTGATACAAACCACGCATATCTAAACCCGCGCACTTCCGCTTAAGGATAAGCTTTTAGTGAAACTTATTAAAATGTAGTTATATATATAATTTACTTCATTCAACAGACAATCCACATCAGACAATAGGTAAGCAATTATACCGGTGGTAAAACACAGAATTCACACACAAGACGTCCACATATGGACGATAAATTTTCGACAATTACACAATCAATACACTACACATTTAGTTAAATTTAAGTTACATCTTAAATGCAGAGAATAACACTAAAAAATATATAAATATACAATACATCAGTTTTTTCTTGTTATTGGCATGATTTTGAACAAGGGTTTCATTGTGTGAGTGTCTAAATTTTTTATACCCCACGTGTAAAAACTGAAGACTTTACAAGATTACATGAAAAATTGTTTTAGGTATATTACAATAAGCTCAATCATGTTCTAATTAAAATAAAACTGGAATTCTTTACCACTGGCTATTATACGTGCTCAAACCCTGTATTATTTTAAAAGACAGGTTAAGAAGCATTAAGTATCCGTCTATTTAGCTCCTTTCTATATCTCGATGTCTCTATCCTTCCCTTTTTGTTTCACTCTTACCTTGATCACACACAAGACGTTTTTTTTATTACTTTAATTTTTGTTGCAACTTAGTTTTTACTTAATTTCTTGTACATCCTACCCAATAACAATTTCTTTTAATACATTTTTGAGATTGTCTGGAAGAAATTGCTGTGTAGCGATAAGGTCGCCTTTTGATGACCAATATTTGATAAATTAGTTTTGTACTTTTTTCTTTTGTGATGTACAATAAAGCATATTATTATTATAAGGCGGGGTGAGGTATGCTATAGAAATACTGTTAAAAATACTTAAAACATTTCTTGGTCCAAATTAGACGCCCCCTAAAATCTACCGCCGTAGGCTCTAGCCTACTTGCCTATAAGGATCCCAAAATCTGACACCATCACCGTGACAACCAACAAAATCGCTTCGCCAAATTTTATCCTCTTTTTAGATTGTCAACTTGATTCTGGGGTATAACTAGTGATTTACCTGAGGTGCATGAAACGATCATAAATCATTCAAAAAACGCGGATCAGATGAATTCGTTTTTGCTACTACTGAAAACCAACTGGGTACCGAGCAAAAACCTTAAAAAATCCAAGTCCATTGCTTACGATATTTCGTACCCGATCATTAGAGATGTGTAGGCATCAGTGTCAGTAAACTCCGAAATTTCACACTGCCCGTGTGCTTCATATCTAAACTGACCACTTTTTTTTTTAACTCAAAACGGGACATTTATTTACAATGAAATGGAACAACATTTTAATCTTCTTTATTCCGAAAAGATAACAAATTAATAGATACAAAGAAAAAATCATGAGTACACTATTATTACTAAAAACATTGGTATGTTTTTAAATATATTTCTATTTCTCAGAGGAACAAATTTGTTTTAATAAAGAAGGTGCCGATTTTAAATAAGAATAAAATTTGGCACGTTTCTTTTATGTTAAACTTTGTTATCAGCATCGCCTTCAGAACTGGAGCTGCTCAATATCACCAGCACCACTATGAGAAACTCTAAACTAACATCCGAAGAAGTGTTAATTTGCCTAATAAATGGGTATTTTGTTTGTAACTGAACACTTGGGTTACGGCATAACTATAGGAAAAATTTCAAAACAACAAAACTTCAAATTATCTACAAAACTATTTAACTCCCCACCGCGGTACTAGAATAACCGGGAATAACCGATCGTGAACACAGCGGTTCCGCGCTGCTCATGATCATGTCTGACAGCGTGGTTTTAAAATTTCGCGCGGTTTCAGAAAACGGGACAATTTTGTGTCCCGAAGATTTGTTCCGAGAAAAGGGACAGTCCCGTTCAAAACGGGTCGTATGGTCAGTTTATTCATATCTCATGATTTTTTTCTTCAGTCGTAGACTTTGTAGCCAGGCCAAAGCCATGTTGTAAATAGATGAGAAAACTCTCCTAATATATAGTTTATAACATGTCATTGTAGATTTCCTTGGGCGTTAATTTTTATTTTTCAAAAACTTATTCAATTTTCTATTTCTAGAAGCAAAAGAGTCAAGAGTTTTGATCGGAAGAACCTCCCCAGCAATTTTTCCAATACCCACAGCAAAGCTAGGTTAAAATGGGGTTCTTACCCGTTTCACGGATTAGAAAACTAATTTTAAATAAATTATTTTCTAGCCGTGGCCAACTTATAAAATGTCTCTGAATATTATATTTATTAAAATAATCATTTTACCATTACTGTCCGACTCCTTGGAATAAGCAACTTTATAAACCGTTTATTTCTAATTTGCAATTATTGTTCTGGATCTGGATCCTAGTTCCCAAGGAGGGTTAAGTTCAGGCAGCCAACCTAGCCGTATTTGCATTATTAACATGATTCACACGTTGTGCCAACCCACACCTATGATTAGGACAGGAAAAAGAAGATAACTCCAAATAAACAAATAAAACATAATAATTTTATACAATAATATTTTATTTCATTAAATTTAAAAATAACTTAAAAGTATTTCTTTACAAAGGTACATTATAAACTAACTTAACATAGCTTTGTTCGTAACACACGAAATGTTATAATACAATGACACTTAATACAACTTATAATACATAAATATGTTAATTGCCATTATTTGCAATAAATGGTAGACACAAAAAAATTTCATATGGTCATTGGATAATGACTAGCGATAGAAACATTGTGTAATTTCAGTTGCTCGAATGTTTCGAATGAACTAATATTAACCTCGACAAAATAATTCTAATAAAAGGTATTGGGTTGCTTTTTGCATTCTTTTACATTAGCTTCCTAAGATTACATACCTATCTATTAGGATAATATTTTTTTTATTTGTACCAGAAATAAATTTGCCAGTGTTTTTGCAACATTTAATTGCAACTCTGGTTACCAGTTTCGTTCTGAAAACTTTTCTTATGTACAGTTTTTACACGCCTTTCAATCTCGTAATGTACATTATGTTTTACACTTTTGTAGTTCGCGAAATTTATTATACATTTATAATTGGACGATTCCGTGGATTACATAAGTGCGTGAACACAAATCTTTAAATAAGATATGTGTCCTTACTAATAAGTGAAAATAAAAATAGAAATGTATGTCTTACAATATGTATCGTATGACACTTAAATGTGATAATCAGTTAGTATATAATATTAAGATATGGGCGATTCAAATACAAAAGATGCACCTTATGAAATTAATTGTGTACAAAAGGAGCACAACATATATTTAATTATTTGAATTAATAATTTAGAGAGGGTCAGAGAAAATCGCCTAGGTTTCATGATTTGAAATTATTTATGCAAATCGGATAATTATGTGCGTAATTGTTTAAGGCTGCAACTTTGAGATGTATTTCGTAATTTACTAGAAAAATATCAAAGTTAACAAACTATATAAATATTGTTAAATGTATTTGCACTACAATCGTAAAATTTAGGTAAACAAAAATTTTGCCAAAAAAAAAGAAATATCAGTTAAACGAGGAAATTAACTGAGATTAACTAATACTCCCTATAACCTAAATTTTATATGATTATTAAAGATACCTAGTTACAGAAATATATAAAGTATAAAATAGAAATATACATATATACAGATAAAACTCTCATGCTTAGATAAATATAATTCTTATAACAAAATAATTTTATAATTGAATACCATTGTAAAATGAAACAAAACCTTTAATATCCTTCACCATTAGCTTATGTTATTGTAACCATCAGTCAGCAGTTTAACTGCTTTAAATATATCATGAGACAAAACAGAAAAGATTTTATATAGTAATTGGCATTTTTGTTAGTTAACTTTTAGTATTATTCAAACTAAGTTAATTTCACTTTTCTTAAAAGCTTTAAGATATAGATTTATTTTCTAAAGGGAATTTTCTACTATATCATTCATAAGGCACCATAGCAGCATACACAATAATGAAAAGATAGATTGCATTAATTAATAATGAACATTAAATGTCTGACATATTGATTATACACTGTACATTCCTTGTATCACCTACTCACAAAAATGTTTTGTTATGTAATTGCAATAAACAAAAACATGAAAACTTCTACCTCCTGTAAGTCTACACATTGATAGAGACACATCACTAGTTAGTTCTACGTAGAGTCTAGGTAGTTCACAAACTACGCACATTTTATATTCTCTTTGACGCATATGAGTTGTAATTTTTATATAAATACTTAATATATGCGTATTACATAAAGGCTGCACTGACTACTAATTCTTGTAACACAGCTTAGCAAGATAAAAAATGAGCGACATAAAATATATTATATGAAAGAATAAACATAAAATACAGTTAACTGTAACACAGTTTACAAATATAAAAAATATAAAGTGATAGCAATGTACGGAAGCTATTATTTTCGCTCATTGTTCACAATTTTCATTTGTTACAAAAGATACATCGGAACTGCAATTAAATCAATAATTTCATACTTATCTTTATAGTAAAGTATTATTTGTAACTATAAAAGTATTTTTATATCATTTTAATTTTTTTATTTGTAGGCGAAATATGAAAATTTGCTGGAAAAAAGATTCCCCATAAAAAGTATGACATATACTAAGCTCATTTCATTAAGAAACATAAAATCTATGTATTGTATTGAACAATGGATTCTGAATCTTCTCTTATATTAAAGTGGCATTATTTAATGAATTTAATAAATTTCTAGTTACAATGACAATTTTTACAGTTATAAATAAACTGTGGGACTTTATCGTATGATTGTTGTATTGTGATGTACATTTGTAACGATTTTGATTAATAACTAGAATTATCTTCTTACATACTTACACTTCTAATTTGATGAACAAAACATAACACGTAACAATCATAGAACAATTTAACTTTAATATTATAAAAAGTATATCTACAATGTTTGAGAAAACTCTATCACTTGCGTTTTTATCGTCTTTTCGCGTCGACTTTCTTAGCTGTCGCATTCTAACGATGTCTCATGTCTTCCTTGTATAGGAAGGTGACTTAATTTCAACCAGGGGGGTGTTAAGAGTTGAGCTGTTGGGGCTGGGCGCCAATGATGCTTCCTGCGAGTTATCCCCTTCCAAGTCGGGAATATTTATATCCTCAAAATACGGAATATTTCCTGTATACGAGATTAGCTGATACCCTTCAGCTGAAATTATCCCAAAAAATGTGAGTTAATTTTACCAAATACTTCAAGATGTTGTAAAATCGTGTATGTATAAACTCGTAGAAATGAAGAATGATAAAATTACAACTCCTTACTTAATATATCTGTACAAGCAATTCAGGCATAAGCAAACCTACAAACAAATCCACATGTACTATGTCATAAAATTAAATATCCCATAGGATGTAACTTTAAATAAGACTGTTGATAATCTACTAAATATTTATGCCTGTTTTATATAATTTAAATATTCTAAATGACATTTTCAAATAACAACATGCACCAATCAATTTCTTATGTTCCAAAAAAACTGTTTCTGTTAAACCAGACAACCAAATATATAAATATATATGTGTAACCAACATTATAACCCCAAAATGATTATGTAGTACAATATATTAAGTATATAAGACATACAATACGCCCATTAACTGCTCACTACATCATGGCATATTAAAATTTGTATATAACTTTAAGAAAATGTCCCATTAATGTTTTTTATCAGAACTAATCACTATATAGTATACTTCAAATTTCTTTATCTCTATGTTGTATAGAGCTTTCTAATCTGAAATTATACATCCAGAGCGAGACAGAATAGGGCCTAGTATCTATTCTTAAAATTAGGTTAAAAATTCATTTCATATTATCTATCAGTATTAGTCTCTTAATAAATTGTTGAAATAATACATTAATTGTTTAAAAGTAAAATTAACGTAATAAAATTGTGGTAATACAAAGGCACATAATTATTATGACGATAACGAAAATAAGAATCGAAATTACTACAACATACTCCCATATATCTCAAATCATTAACATGCATAATAAACTAACAAAAAAAAACAACTAAAACCTCTAGGACACAAGGCTTTACTATAAGAACAACTTGAAAAAAAAATGACAATAACTACCATCGTCCTCAGAACACAGACTCTGGGCGCGGTACTCGTCACTGCTTACATTTGTTATCTCATCTTTCTTCTTTGCTTTATTTAATAATAAAAACATTTAATAGTATTAGGAAGCTTAATATGCGTAAAGAAATAAATTTACGGACGAGAGGTGAATAATGATATTGTGAAGGGTTTATAATAAGTTAATGAATTTTGTTGTAATTTTGTCAATGTAATATCAGATACATAACTAAAATGATTACAAAATATGAAATGGAACTTGATAAAATTGTAATTAATAAAATATTTATAATATAATATAAAAAATGTGATATTATGATTAAGGTGTTCACATTTTATAATGGGTATATAATGCAATAACAACTTAATTTTAGACATCTTCCTGCACAGTTATGTGAGAAAATGCATATGTCATACAATGAATAGAGCAATCCATACAGTAATGTTAAGCTGTTAATTTTATATTTGGTATCATTTACTTGCTAATATATTGTCACTTAAAGTCATACCGCATATAATCTACAGGATAACCTTAAAAATATTTCTATTCCTGTCCAGAGATTGTAACAAAAATCTTATCCCACTAATTTATTAATAAAATATAGTCTGGTACCATCAATGTCTGGCCCTCTTAAAATGCACATAGTTTCAAGAACCAAATATCTGTATGATATTAAATTTTCTGATTATAGCACTATCACAGTTCAAAAACCATGATTTACATTAATTTACCAATTACCAAAAAAAAAATTCCATCATTATATTAGCTGATGTCTGCCCTGATAAGGTCTTGCTATGAAGAAGCTACAGGTTACTTTGCAGATGGGGTATCGCTGCTACCAACCAGCCAATCAAAATCAATCATCGGATACTGTTTTGTTGTATCTACAATTAACATAATATAAAAAATAACTCAGACAAGATTTCCATTGGGTAAATTCCTGGCAAGATAGCCTTTCTAGACTATCTCCCTTTAAAAACCTGCATGCAGAAAATTTGTGAAAATAATAATGCATCACTTGAATTTATTCTTTGGAAAGAAATATAATTCCTTGAGTATACAAAACATTATAACCCTTATATCTTATTTTTAAATGGAATTGATTGACTTACCATTATTGCTTGTTTTTGCACGCTCTTCACTTGGATTGTATGACAGTCCATAGAAAGGATCGTCAGAGCCAAATAGCTGAAACAGTAATAAAAAATTTGTATATATTATATTATTGAATCCAAGAATCTAAAAGAAAAGAAAAAGGATTTTAGAAAATACCCACCCCTTCAAAATTTAAAAGCGATTTTATAAGATTGAAATGTAGCTATTCTTAGCATACGGATAACATCAGACTTTGCAGTATAAGAATATTGAACTGATACTAATAATAATGATGATATTTTTTCTTTAAATGTTATAAGTCCCTATTGAAATAACTTTTTTTTTTTCAAATAATTACTTGAAATTGACTTGATATTATTCATATGGGTAAAATATAGATATAGATATACCTATATCATTTTAGGCAATATAATTTATTTCAAAGGTACAAAACTAATTCAAATGTCTTTTGTCATTTATGTTAAGGAATTACATAGTCATTCATGGTGTGCTGATGGAAAGGTATGGCGAGAGACATCGCAGGTTCTACACCTGCATCAGCATTCTATGGACAATACAGAATTTCTAATTTAACATTTACAAAACTATAAATACCCTATTACTATTTCGTGGGTTTTGGAAATGCTTTTATATTTATATAGCATCATAATGAAGTAAATAATGCAGCTCCTTTGATATAAAATGCTTATCAAGAACTATCATAATATAAACGACCCGCTATTACGTAGTCGGCACGGCCGTCTAAATGTGACAGTAAAAGCCGCACAAGGCCTTACACGCGATCCCAACACGTTGAATGCAACGTGACTTAATCCATTGCTACCACCCGCACGACATTAAATAGTTGTTTTCGTAGGAAGCGCGTTTGTGTGCGTGTGCTGTCAACACAAGACATTTAAAATAAGTGCGCGAAATACTTTTCATCATAGTTGTGTCGAATCGGCGGATACAATAATTTGAGAATTTTGTTTAAGAATGTCTAAAATTTAAGAATAAATCCATATTATATTTATAAATCTTGGTATAAAATTTTGAGTCACATATAAAAAATAATGAAATACTCATATAGCATTTTTTTTATAAATCGCTCAGTTCTAGAAATGGGTAGATAACGTGTAAAAATTTTCAAATCAGAATTTAAGACATCTATGTTAAATATATAAATAACACATTTAGCAATTGCATGGTGTCATATCATCTATATCAGATATTTTTGGGTCATCTCCCAATTCTATCTACTAATATTGAGATTATATAAAAAAACTGACATATTTTTAAAAATATATGGCCTAATGCTTAGACTAGGTATATATTTTTTTAGGCCCTAAGCTACTTTAGATCAAGAGACTTTCATACAGAAATAACAAAAAACTTATCTGTTCATAATATCATCATACATTTAAAATTCAATTAGTTTTCAATACATACCCCCAATAAAGTGTTTGTATCAAGGGAGTAGGCATCACTTCGTAGGAGTTCTCGTAATGAATCCAAATCTGTTTGCATTGTATCTAGATGATCATCAATGTCATTCCTGGAATAAAACCATTTCAATACTGTATATTACTTAGTATAACCAACATACATTTAACTCTGAGTTATATGCAACAATGATTTCCTTTTATTACAAAACTATGATTACAGAAAGTAAAGAAAACCTATAGACAAATTTACTTGTATCAATTCAAACCTATATTTTCAATTATTATCATATTATGCCTAATATTCAAGATGTATAGATAAATTTGATAATATTGAAAGGATAAAAAAGCAAAGTAAGCCCAATATTCTATGAGTAAAAGTGTTTAGTCCCCTCTCAGAGCAATTTGTGTGCAAGGGGTTACATAAGTCCTGTTTCGTGTGGGAATCGAACCCACGACCCCTGGCGCCGAAGCCAATATCTTGGCAACTGCACCACCGAGTCATCCTCTTACAGCAAAGATTTGCAATAGTTGACATTCATATCACATACTTGTTTGAATTGGATCCAAAGGAAGAAAATTCATCTCGATTTTTGGCGATGTTATCTCTCCTATACCTGAATATTAAAATGACACATAAGTATGAATACAAGAAGATAAAGTTTTGGTATAAATCTTCAAATTTTTTCTTTTATGTTAATATATGAAACCCCTATCGAGTATTTTAAAGCAGGGATTATGTATGAAATGGGCACAAGTTTCCTAAATCATAAAATAACTAAGAGGGAATTCATACAACTACTGGATAATGCTCAGTATGCTTTGCAACTTAAATGCTTAAGCTTTTTTCATATTATTTTACAAACTGAAAAAGTTTCACAACACAAACAACAACCCAATTGAAGTTTTGTTGAATAGAAATGTCCTATGCATATATGAAAAAGAAATATTCATGTGCATGGATGCTTTTCCAAAGCTTTTTTTTTTAATATTCATATAACCATGTTGTTGCATGGTTGCAGTTATCTGAATTTTTCATTATTGCTGTGAATAAGCCTGGACTCCGCTAAATAAACTAGAAATTAACAAAAATATATTTTTACTTACACAGTCTGTAACCTATTCACATTGGTGTTATTATTAACAGTAGCAAGAGTCATATTGTTCCAATCGAAATCATCTTGTAATTCGGTCTTAATATCGGCTAAATTTAAATTAGACGTTATATTATCTTTGGACTTCTTTGTCTTCTTTGATGGCTTAGTGTTCAATACAGGTTTTTCAATTTTAATGTTTATTCCACCAAGCATTTCATCTTTTGAGATTGAAACAACTGGATCAGTAGATACGGAAAGATCATCAGTGGTAGTAATTCCAGCATCACTAACTGAGTCATCACTAGCAAAAATTTCAGCAGGCAATTTGAAGTCAGCAGATGTATTTAAGGCGTTAAAATTACTGGGAGAGAGAAGCTGTTTACCACTTGATATAAGATTTTTATTTGCAATATTTTTGTCCCTAGGTTTAGATGTGCTAGGTGTTGTCATATTAATGATGTTATTTGCTGGTTGCTCAAGAATATTTTGGGATAGCGGAGAAGTGGGAGATGGCATTGTAGGTGAGCCTGAAGTGAAATCTGGAAGAAAATTTGTAGCTGCTGTTGTGGTTTTTACACTTTTGGTGGAATTGACAGGATATGTAGTTTTTCCTTCTGAAACAAGAAAATTTAAATCTCAGGTATTTGCTTTGAAAAGCTTTCTAATTAACTTCTTCAAAATGCAAACAAATTAACTTTTAAACATTATAAAATAAGAAAAGAGGAAAAGAAAGATATGGTCTTTATTATACAGGGTAGATCCTTAAATAGTGCTTTGTATATATTTAATGAACTTTTGTTTCCAGATAAAGAAAAAACACATTGAGGATTAAAGCATATAAATGAATAGAAATTATTTACCAGTCTCTCCATCATCACCATCTTCCATTGTAACCTGGTACTGCATAGAAGAAGGATCAGCCTGATTGTTGCTAATAAAGATTTCGGGAGTAGAAGTAATATCAACAGTGACAAAAGAAGTAGGGTCCAGAGAATCTTGTGAAGCTTCATTGTGTAATGTATCATCATGAGCTAATTCATGGATTGTGGGCCCATCTTCCTGTAAAAACATTTAAAAACATAAATGATATTAATACAATATGAGAAAAAAACAAACACCTTTTTGCAAAAAAATAAATAAATTTAAGAATTGAAATAAAAGAGATAACTCAATAGCCTCAAACAAACCAAGTTATCTTCATTGATATCTTCAAAGGCAACATCTTTATCCAGTTTCATACTTTTGGCCCTACTTGAATAGCCATCACTCGTAGAAACATGTGCTGCACTGTTGATCATTAATTGATATGGTCTCTTTACTCCAACATTATTTCCATTTGAGTTTGGTGCCCTCGTTGGTTGCACCAGAGACATTAAGAATTGAATAAGCTGAAATGATAACTTTGAATATATCTCATATCTAAGTATAGACTTACATACTTGTAAATAAGGTCGGGAGCCATAAGTTCAGCAGTGTCCTATTTGTCAGTGATGATGATGTATGATTAAGTTTTAATTACTCACATTATTAACAATCTGTTGTTGTTTTATGTGCTTTTGTCTGAGAATTGCCACTTCTCTCCAAAGAGCTTCATTTTCTTGCTTCATTGCACTGAACTTTGCATCAAGACTTTCTTGTTTTCCTTTCATCTGTTTAACATCAGCTAAAACTTTGTTCATTAACTCTGGTTTAAGGAGAATTTTTTCACCACTTTCATTACTGGCAATGATTGATTTTGGATTAGCAATCTTCCTTTTTATATGTTCCAGCAGATAAGCATGGCCTCTCATAAAACATGGATGGGAAAATTCTATTTCATCCTTTTCATACCTAAGGCCTCCATTCTCAACTGAAGTAATCTTATGAAATCCATACATATTCAACTGTCGAATGAAGCTTGCCATATTGTTATGTTTGTAGTATAATGGTAATAGCTCTCTAGCAAACTCTGCTTGATTTTTGATGACAAATGTTTTACCACCCTAGAATTAAAAAAAAATTAAAATGCTAATTTATAGAAAAAAATATTTTTAACATTTGTCGACAAAAATTCAGCAGTAGCATATATCGAGTAATCAAAAATGAACATGTTAACCTTTATGAAATATTATTCTTATTATGATTACCATAAAGTAAACCTTAAAAGTTTAAAACGAAGTTAAGTGACCTTTTACCATTGTCTTTTGAAAGTTTTACTAATATCAATATTTTATTAATAAATCTTGTTTGAGGAAATAATTCAACAAAATATTTCGTCGTATATAAGTCGATAAAAATAATTTAAAATAATATTAATTTCGTATTATCATTTTAAATGTAAAACTCATTAGGGGTGCTTAGAAAGAATTGAAGTGTTTAACCTTAGATAATGTTCAAATGAGAAGCTGCGTGGTAGAAAACGTGACATGTAACTATTTATTTATTAAGTTACACAGCCGACAATCAGCTGCGTATTGTTTCTTTTGTAGGTTGCTTTGTAGCGACTTTTTAGGAATAAAAAGTATAACACGAAATTACAAATAGTATCATACGCATAATTGCGATGATTATTTTAAATATCCTCGTAAAACACATCACTTACAGGGCTCCATGAAATCAAATGATTCGTTTCTGAATCAGTTACCAATTTCCACAACTTCCCCAGAAAAGCAGGGACACTTGCTCCTATTTCAACAACTGAACGCATTTTTCACCGTTTAAAGTGTATTCACACTTTTCTTAGCAATTAACTTAGTACAGACAGATATTTTTATGAAATACCAATCTAACCACAAATCGCCATTTAATCACTACACATATACAATTGTACACAGATCAAATAACAACTCGCACACAACTTCATAAAGTTCAACACTAACGTAAATACACGTAGAGACACACCGATGAAAGTAGTTAGAAAAATGACAAGTATTTAACTACCAACGCAGGGACAATAAAATAACGTTCATTTTAATTTTAAAAGATAAATTGAATCTTAAATTTCTGGAATATGAAGATGATGATATTTTATTACATTAAAGTTATTTAATTTCTTCTTATCTGATTTATTTTATAATTTATGTACAAAGAATCAGGAAGTATCGAAATAACAAATGCACATTTATTAAATAAGTAAATGTGCATAACTAAGTATACTGATTGCTAATAAATAAGTTATAGTTATTGTCCTTATTGTTAAAACTAAAATTGGTAACTTTTATAGTGCTATCGCATTCGACAAATTCCCTACAATGATTAAGATTCGAATTTAACTAGGTGATATTATTTTTTTATATTTACATTACAAAACGGTACCTATCAAATATTTATTTTTACATAACATAAAACAGAGTCGCTCCCGGATTTTATTGTAACTTTTAGCAATAGATACAATAATTTAAGAGGTTCACATGGAGTATACATGTAAATTATAGTACAGAAATTTAAAGATTTGTAATGTAATGTGACAAACATATTTTTGTGCGCTTACATTGCAAACGCTTGATTAATCTTACGAGATAGATCAAATTAAAGTAAAAAGATATTCGCATTGTGTCATGTAAAAAACAGCTGTAAATATTGTATATGAAGATTCCTGTTCCGTAGTATAGACTAATCATAATCATAATATTACTAATTACTTTACACTGCCGCACCATTGCCGGATTAAACAAGCGCGGAGCGAGTAGCAAGTTCTTTCAAAGATGATGAAGTTTGTGCTCTTTTAAAATTCAGTACACTCTATTTCATACTTTAAGAAAAATATCGTTAAAAAATCTACATGTGTTTGAAATAATAAAAATAACTTAAGATAATTCCAAGGTTCGTGAAATCTACCATTCATGGCAGAGTATGTTCTCTGTGTAGATGCTATTACCTTTTTAAACATAACAGGTCTTTGCCCAGCTGTGGGGTATATGCTGTTAATTTAATTTCAACGCCTAAAATGCGATATTTTTTATGTAAAAAGTTGCCATGCTAGCAGGCGGTTCACCTGATGTTAAGTGAATACCGCCACCCATGGACATCTGTTACACCCGAGGATTCCAGATGCATTAACAACCTTTTGAAAATTGTGTTCCGGCTACCTCACTCACCAGACAAAACGCGAAAGTATTATACTTCGACTTTACGCCGGTATTCTGTGAGGTCGTGGTACTTACCCGAACGAGCCTATCCATTTATGCAACAGCCGAGGCTGATGCGTGGCCCTACCACCGTAAACCTTGGTAACTAAATTAATCTTGGAAACCAATTACAATTTTTGATCTTTACCAATAATTCCAATTTATTTAAACAAACCAATTGCATATAATGTCTTTATGCTAAAGAAGTATAACTTCTTACGTACGTACTTACATAAGTACACAAATACTTTTTTATGTAATATCTATGTATTTCAAAATTTTCTATACATACGTATTATTTTTACTGCACGTATAGACGGTCGACTACGGAGGTACCAACCGCAGCATTGAAGACAGTTGAAACAAAAGTATTAGATTCATATGTAACTAGAAAGTGTATTTCAAAATTTTCTATACATACGTATTATTTTTACTGCACGTATAGACGGTCGACTACGGAGGTACCAACCGCAGCATTGAAGACAGTTGAAACAAAAGTATTAGATTCATATGTAACTAGAAAGTAATAAACATCCTGCTAACATGTAAAACATAATGGTATGATAATAAAACTAGTTTAATATATTAATATTAATAGGCTAGGCCAAGATCTTTAAAATATGCAGCATTTCACTGCTGCCTAGCAGATAAATAACAATTTATAGAATTTGATAGGCTAAGTAGGTACGTTTAAGATTTCTGGGGTAAAGCTGTTGTACAAGAGCGGATTCTTCTTCTTCTTCCGTCCTTGATACCGTTATTTGGGCTCGGGTCAAACGGTCTTGGGTTGTCGCTTCAGGCAATTGGGCTTTCTTTAGGTCTCTTGAAATACTGGACCACCAGGTCATTGGCGGGCGGCCTCTGCCTCTCTTTGATTCGGGCAGATTTAAGGCTAATCGTACGACGTGATCTCCGCTGCGTCTTTTAATGTGTCCATACCATCTTAGGCGATTTTCTGTAATTTTGTCTGTGATTGGTGCGACCCTAAAGCTGCCACGCATATGTTCATTACGGACTTTGTCAAGCCCAGTCGCACCTCCGGCCCATCTTAACATCTTCATTTCGTTGGTATGGAACTTTTGCTCATGCGCCTTCTTTGTTGTCCAACATTCGGAACCATACAATAACGCGGGAAGTACTCCATTTTTATAGACTTTGCCCTTAGTTTTTATGGGAATACGTGGATCACATAATACTCCAGTAAGTGATCGCCATTTCAACCACGCGGTACTGATTCTATGGGCCACGTCTGCATCAACGTTTACATCTGCTGTAAGCATAGATCCTAAGTATTTGAATTTATCCACTATGGGAATAGGTGTTGTCTCAATACAAATGGAAACAATTACCACGTTTCCGCTGAAAGGGCGTTTCAGATACTCCGTTTTAGTCCTACTCACCCTCAGGCCGTACTTTTCAAGAGCATTTGTCCACATATTTAGAGTTTCTTGCAAATGACTTGCAGTATCAGCAGCTAGAACAATATCATCCGCGTATAGCATAGTCCATGGCAATGTGGAAGGTATATCCTTTGTGAGGTAATCCATCACAAGATTGAATAGTAGAGGGCTAAATGACAGGGCAGGGCAGGGCAGGGCAGATCCCTGATGGACACCCACTTAGACCTCAAAGGCTTTACTCACGCCGGCTAGGCTTCGGTGTTGGCACTGTTGTACATATCCTTAATAAGCTTGATATAATACTCTGGCACTTTTTGGGCGCGAAGAGCTTGCCACACTAGCTTACGTGGAACTCGGTCAAAGTCTTTTTTTAGGTCAATGAATGCCAGATGTAGGTCTTTGTTATTCATTTTATGTTTATCCATCAGGATTCTAAGTACAAGAGCGGATTATTTGCGGAAAATTTTTGGGAAATTTCTACAATGCAAATTGGAAGCCCTGATTTCAGTCTTGCCAACTTAGGGCTTTTAGCCCGAAATTTAGGGCGAAAATATGCATGTTGGCCTGTCTCAGGGCCATGAATTATTATTCATGAAAAACTGTTATCACTGACCAAAGTGAGTAAAGTGAGCAAAATGTCTATTAATGAATGTTATTTGCGAAATTTTTGTAAATATTGTGTTGTTTTGGTAATTATTTCAACTATTTGTAATGAAAAGTAATTAAAACTAAGTTATACTATTTTAACCTTAACAAAACTTAAAACTCATTTAAACAATGTCTTTAAATTCCGTACAAGGCATTTTGGGGGCTTTTGAAAATTGTATTTAGGGCTATTTCATCTTGATTTTAGGGCTTAGGGCCATTTCATTTTCTTTTTAGTAGTTGGCAACACTGCCTGATTTGCTGGTTGTGGTTGCTCTCTGAACTCTGTTCGTGAATTCTGGTATCTCATAAATTTATTTAATTTAATAATACTTTCCTTAAGTACGACATCGATATACCCGACCTATTTGTTTAGTCGTCTAAACACTTCTTACCGGCTTCAGTTTTTTGATTTTTTAAATTATTTTTTGTATTTACGTACAACTGGATAAACATGGAGGTATGAAGATAATTTTTGTAAATATGTATTTTTATATATATATATATATATATATATATATATATATAGATTTGAAATAACTAAAAAAATGTTTTTAGATTGAGATTTTATCTACTATTGGGTCAAAATCTCTGGGGAAAATTACTGTAAACGAAGATGCGACTGTGAAAATATTGAAGGAAAAAATTTATCAAAATTTAAAGAAGTCATTGTATCCGGAAAGACAATCAATAAAGTTAGAAGTGAAGGGAAAATCATTAAAAGATGAAACCTCGTTAAAATCCTCTTAATATTCAGGATGGTGGCAAGCTATATGTTTCAGACCTTGGGCCACAGGTATCCTACAAAAATGTTTTTTTGGCTGAATATGCTGGTCCCTTGTTTGTCTATCTTTGGGTTTATCAAAGACCATGGATAATATATGGAGAACAGACATCAACACCTGGAACTGTCGCTAAGTATGTTGTGATTCTATGTAATCAACATATTACCATTCAATTACAATAATTTATAGTAATATATCTAAATTATAATTTCAACTTATTATTACATCTAAAAGCTTCAACAAGGGCCTACTTATTACAGAGGAAATTATTTTTTATTCCATCACATATATTTTCAAATTTTAATTTATGAATAGTTAGCCTAAGTTTTTTAGCATATTTTTTTAATATATTTTAAACATGATTTAAAGGAAAACATTTCAATGTAGGCTATTTGAAAAGAAAACTTTAGTATACCCACCATGACCATGACCATGCAACGCTTTTTGCTCTTGCATAAATGGGTAGGCTTGTCCAGGGATGCACCATTGCTCCACAGGAGACCAACAAGCAAAGGAATTATGTAATATATTTTTGTTTCATCTGGTAAGTAAAGTAATCAGAGCTTGAGCCCCTCAAGTGTTATAGATTTGCATAGTTGGCTGTATTCATTTAAAAACCATGTGATTGCTTTCCAAAAATTCTCATAATAGAAATTAATAATGTAAGTCATGCCTTGCTCAAGGTGAGTTTTAAACATGAATAATGTATACATGATTTGTGTATGTATAAACATATTTAAAAAAAAATTCTAACTAATTTTTTTTATACTAATATTTCAGCATTGCAGCCCTCTGTTGGTCCATCCACTACATTAAGCGGCTCCTTGAAACAGTCTTTGTTCATCGTTTTTCCCATGGTACTATGCCACTTCGCAATTTGTTCAAAAATTGTGCATATTATTGGTTGTTTGCTCTGTATATAGCATACCATGTCAATCATCCCCTCTACACTCCCCCTAGCAGCACATGTGTGTATGCTGGTATTGTAGGTTTTACTGTAAGTATTGTGAATTATCCTCCATTCATCTATTCTTGAATTTCAAAAAATTCTCTGTTATTTTTGAATGTTGTAGTTGTTGTTATTAACAAACTTAATAAGACCAAGTCTCAAAATAAGATGAAACTGGGCTACTTGTCAAGAAAAACTTTATTATAACTTCATGTTAATGAGGGAAAGATTCTTTATTTTATGTTTTTGTTTAATTTTATCCCTTGTCTTGTTTAAAAGAGAATCATATGTCTATTTACTATCTTTAAACTATACCATTTTATTAACATACAATTAACATTGAATTGATATTCTTGATATAAATGCCAACTTGTACATTACACATGACCTTTAAGTATCAAAGTCCAATTGTTGTTGTTGCTTTATAATTTAAACCTGATGACATTGCTATCAGGAAATAATAAGTAAATATTTATTTTTTATAAATGTTATTTCAGTTATGTGAATTAGGTAACTTAAGCATTCACCTCCTTTTGAAAAATCTTCGGCCACCTGGAACCAAAGTGAGACGCATCCCAATGCCTGATGGAAACCCATTTTCATTTCTTCTGAACTATGTTTCCTGTCCAAACTACACTTATGAATTTGGATCTTGGGTCTTCTTTACAATCTTAACAAAATGTGCCCCAGGTAAATATTCTACATTATGTATTTGTATGATAAATTTGATATAAAACAATGTTTTACAAATATGATTTTTCATATACATTTCTGCTTAACAGACATTCAATACTTTTGTTATTTTTCATGCATGGTTCTTATGCTTAAGTTTTATGTATTTCTTTAAGTTAATTTGCGAAATTACATTTATAATTTTTTCTCTCAATTGTCAAGGTCAAAATATTGAAAACAACTTTTTGAAACTAATATAAAGTGGTTCATAAGTGGATTGTGTCCTTAAAAATAAGTAAAGTCTAAAAATGGTAATTCAACATTTGTAATGCAAAAAAATATAATTGTAATACTGTCTTTAATCTATGCTATGTACCTCCTTTCAAACTTGAATGAGTTCTTTTATTTTTCCAAATTTTATCCATTCTCAAACAAGACAGGCTATAATTTTTTTATTTTTTTATCACGGTGTAACTAGTGCTTGAATAGTGGTGGTCTTGCTTTAATGACACCATTATTGTAGTTAAGCAAAAAGGCAAATGGCACAAAAAGAGATGCTGTTTTTTTGTCCCATTCTATAGTTTACAGATGCACATGCTTTTTATTACCATTATAAAGCAAAAATATTCAATTATCAATATCATATTTGCCTTTTTTTTAACATGTTTTACATTTACTGTAACTTTAACTATTCTCAGTAATAACAATACACAAATCATTTAATTTTTTTTCAGTTGGCATATTTGCTGTTGTTGGAATGTATCAGATGTCAGTCTGGGCCATCAATAAACATCGCAACTATAAAAAGGAGTTCCCAGATTATCCTAAAGGACGAAAAGCTATAGTACCATTCATTCTTTAAGAAGTTGTTTTTAAGTTTTGGTAGCTAGACTATTAAGTATGAAGATTAAATTTTCTTTGTTGGTTGAATGAAGGGGTTCGGATCTTTTATAATTTATTACCAAGACTTGTTGGGTAGGTGAAGGTCATTGTTTCATTGTATTATTAATATATTAATGAACTGAATCAAACTATAATTATATATGATAATGGATAATATTTTAATTAAATGTTTGCAAATGCTTGTCTAGTCCTGCAAAAGAAGACTTGTATTTCTTATCTTTATGCACCAATATAAAAAAGCATTTATTAAAAATGTATATTTTTCAACTCATTGTTTTATTTTACTATGACATGCTGTGTATTGATTATTACGTGGGTTCAATTGTAATATTATCCAAAAGTAGTTATAATTAAATTCGTTTGTTTGCCATCTTATCTAGTTACAAGATTTTCACCCGCGGCTCCGCCCGCATGTACTACATTTTATATCGAGCTTAAAATCTTTAAATTGATATAACTTTCTCATTTCTGAACCGATTTAAATAAAACGAACACTAAATGTTAAGTGAAGCTTACTACAATGCATTAGTGAAACTTGCACTTGGGTTAAGCCGTTTCTAAGATTGGTACGCACTGCAGACTAACAGATAAAAATTTAAGGCGCTGTATGCAGTAAAAATAGGTTTTCAAAAAATTGTTTTTTAACAAAATCTGTACATTTTATAGAAGCAAAAAAAATATATGTTAATATTGATTTTACATTCTAATGGACTATTGTTTTCAAAACATATTCTCGATAAAAAAAAGTCACGAACCTACCTTTAAAAGTGAAAATCAAATAAAAAAATAGATATAATAAATGAACAAATGTTAATGGAATTAATATCAGTGAAATCAATAAAATCACTAAACTCTTTAGTGAGATTCCTACTTTAACTACATTGTCGCTGAATTCTTCTCCTGCTGTTGCCGAGACATTACTTAAGGAAAATGTAAGTGCATACACCACAATCTTTAAATTTCAGGCTGTTTATGCAAAAGATATTATAAAAATATTTAAGGCCATTGAACTTAAGAAAACGCTAGATCTATGGGGAATGTCCGTTGAAGTGACTGCCTCAATAATAGATTCAATCGCACCTTATTTGTCAATAAATTTTAACAGTAGTGTAGATTCTGGCGTATTTCCTGATCTCATGAGCTAAAAGTAAAATAAGACCTGCGTACGACCTGGTCTATCAGTCCTTTACATTCAGTGTATAGGAGGACCATCATTCTTTATGGATTTGGGTTCAAATACCTAAATTTTTTGTTGTACTTATTGCTGATTTTTTTTTTGAAGTATTTCTTAATTACCATTTTTTTTTAGTTTATTAGGTCTGCTTAACCGAATACAATCTAGCATGATAGCAAACGAAATATACACGGAAAATAATGATTGCATTCTATACATAGCAAACACAGCATACACAATGAGACTCAATATAACATTAGGTACAAAGGTTTATCTACTGACCACTATTACATGAGTAAAACTATAATTTTTTTTTGTATATAAAACCCAATAAAACATTATACTTAAATAATTAAATTAATGAGTAAACTATTTAATAGTTTAATGATATTAAAGGACCGAAAAAAACCTAGACACTTTCTTTTTTGTAGAGGCCAAAGTACCAGTGAATATGACAATATCAAATTTAATAGTATTACATAGTGAAGGTATGCGATACATAGGAGAGTTCTGGCCGAGTTTCGTCCCACTATACGGCAAAATAAACGTTTTCATATTATGAATACGACAACCTTCACGCGGGACCAAAAAATATAAACGCTCTAATAACTTTGGGGATTCTATAATGCCATGTATTAATTTATAGACAAACATTATGTCAGCAGCTTTCCTGCGTGACGAAAGGGGTAGAAGTCCAAAATGTGACAAACGATCAGTGTAAAACTTAAATAATCGACATCTGCGATTATTGTAACACAGGTGGTATAAAAAAAGTGTCTGGATACGCTCTATTCGATCGGAATAAGTAATGTAATGAGGACTCCATACATTAAAAAGAATAATGGGCCGAGATGAGATCCCTGGGGAACTCCTGAAGGAACATTGTACTGAAATGATTTATAACCTTGAACTGAAACTAACTGCGAACGATTACTTATGTAGGACTGACACCATCTTAACAGTGATCCGTGGATACCCATATACTCCAGTTTTACTAGAAGAAGGTCATGGTTAACTACATCAAATGCCTTTCTCAAATCCATGTAAATTGAATGAACTTCTTCGTTTTTTTCAAATGCTTCTACAATATCAGATACATATTCTAACAAATTTGTGTTAACAGATTTACGGGGTAGAAACCCGTGTTGATTTACGTGTATCTGATCTTGTACATGAGATAAAATTGTTTTATGTACTAAGGACTCCAAAACTTTGGCACAACTTGAAAGAAGTGATATAGGTCTATAATTAGTTATATTGTGTATGGCGCCGGCTTTGTAAACAGGTGTTACATGCGCTAATTTCCACATTGAAGGGAACTTACCAGAAGTTAAAGAAGTGTTAAAAATTTGAGTAAGAGGTCTTACAAGATTACGTGAGCAGTTTTTAAGGATAATGGGAGGTAAAAGGTCTGGTCCAGGTCCTTTGCTCACGTCTAGAGCGTTTTAAGCCTTTAACACTTCTTCCTCTGTAATACTATAAAGTGATGTTAATGTATAATTTTTACTTGATTTCAAAATATATTTCGATCGGTCATTGGAACTAAGACTTTGACTGTTTGCGTAAGTTGACTGAAAGTATTTACTAAATAAATTAGATATGGCTTGACCACCTTTAGCCGTTATGCCATCAAGATACATTTCACTCGGAATAGTAACGCTATTACTTTTAATATCCTTAACATATTTCCAAAAATATTTAGGGGACGTGCGCAAATGATTAATTTAATTATTACTGATTTTTTTTTTCATAAATAATTACAACGAAATATTATTGTATTTGTTCAAAGTTGAAACAGTTGGAGAACAATGTATCAGTAAATAAACCAACTTTTAGTATTAAAATTTTTTAACGTCATCTATTTTTTTTATTAAATTTAATTGTTCACCCTAAAATGAAAATTTATCTTATACACGAAAAATATTTTTTATAATTTGTTTATTTTCCAAATTGAGCCATTTTATAAAATAAAAACTAAATAATTTGTTGGCTAACAAATTAAAAGTGAAAATATTAAATAATATAAAAAATACAACTCCACTCGATGAGTGGTTTGAATTTGGGACTACAGCAATAATTTACGCGCTCGGACCAACAGACTACGCGAGGTCTGTGCAAAGTGACAAAATTTCGATTCTAGTTATAATTGCTGTCGTTTATCGATACAAATAAGGATTTTATCGATAGTTTTTTGAATTTCATATTAGTTGAAAAAGTAATATAACATAGTAAGTCTTGAACATTTAAAGAATAAATCAAAATTCCTAATATATAAAATAATGTAATAAAAAAAGTTGTATTCGTAATTTCTGCAAAAATTTTATGAGCCGTTTCTTTAAAATAACAATATATAAACCAAAAAACAAAAAATAATAATTGTAAGTAACTTGCCCTATTATATTATTTGACTTTAAGATGTATTTTTAATCAGTTACTTTTCCATTTAATTAAAAAAATAATAATAAACAGTAAGAAGATTTTCTAAAATTGTTGATTGCTTTCTCATACTTTATGTTTGTTTGTTTATTATTATACCTATTATAATATAAAAGTAAAATACAATAATGGTCTATAAAAGATATTATAGGGATCATCTGTGTACATTTTCGAAAGCCTTCCATGATACTATCGATATACACACACACTCGGTAATGAATGACTTGGTCCAGCGGCGCGTGGACGAAACTCGCGCGCTGCGCGCCGCTAAGCGGCGTTACCCCTCCTCCGCTTCCTCATAGTTCACCACACAAATAGTTAAAAATTCACTGTAGGGATGGGTCGTATCGCTTTTTCTGAGTACCGTATCTGAATCCGATATCGATTTCAAATATCAGATTTCGAAACTATGTATTTTAATATCTAGATATTTTACGGTTCCCTATCCACGTTGATTAATTGAATTCTAAAAAAAAAAAAAAAAAAAAAAGAAATTGTATACTTTAAGAGAGTGGATATAAGATGAATTAAATAACTTCCCTTCATACTTTTTCCAGGCTTAGGACTGGCTGCAATATTTCATACTTATTATAAATATAAAATTGTGCAGGCGTATTTAAAAGTTGATTCATTCTATGTACATAATTTTCCTTATATTTAAAACTTAACATTATATATTTACAATTATGTCAGGGTTAATAATTATTTATATCCCTCCGGGTTCAAATTCACGTTTAGGAACGTAAGCTCTCTGACTTTATTCGTCGAAAGTCTTGTTCGACGATCATTCATAATTAACCCTGTCTTACTAAAAATGCGTTTTTTTTAAATTATTAATTAAAAAATTTCATTAAAAATAAATTGAAGTAATATAAAAATGATTTATTTTAACATCTTATATACCGCTTAATAATTGACTTTAACATATTTTTAGAACACGCAATCGAGTGGCAATATTTTTATTATTTGTGTAAGAAATAATACATTCAGTATTATAGCTTAGGGCGGAAGAATTTAAAATATACACACAAGGCACATAAGCCTTGGTCTGATTTCCACCAAAGCAGCACAGCACTATTAAATTATATTTTTCTTTTTGTGTACTTTTATTTTTTTCCAAAAATATGAATAAAATTTAGCTAATAAAAATATTCACAAAAAATTTACCTCCTAAAAAATTTCCATTGTATATTTTTCTTCCTTAATTTAGGCAGAAAATTCTTAAGTAGTAAGTTGGCATCCCTTACTATTACGTGCTAGGTACCAATGCAATCCAGCTCAAGGCTGAACAAAATTTCAAACACATCGTTAATACCGTAATTCGTATTTAAATGCAACAGAGTTTTTTTCCATGCTGTTAAGATTCAAAATTACTTAACTGCGCGCTTTGTCGCCCGTTACGGCTCAAGGCTAAACAAAACAATAAAAAATATAATAATATCGTTGTAGTAATCGCTGATACCAAGATTAGTATTTAAATGAAACGGATCTTATTTGCATGGGTTTAAGATTCAAAATTACTTAACTTATTCATAATATCTGTTTAAAAATCTGATATCGTGCATTGCTTGCCGTCCCACTCTAAATAGTAAGTGTTTATATCTCACGCGCTTTGTCGCTCGATATCTGATATCGTGCATTGCTTGCCGTCCCACTCTAACTAGTAAGTATTTATATCTCACGCGCTTTGTCGCTCGATATCTGATATCGTGCATTGCTTGCCGTCCCACTCTAACTAGTAAGTATTTATATCTCACGCGCTTTGTCGCTCGATATCTGATATCGTGCATTGCTTGCCGTCCCACTCTAACTAGTAAGTATTTATATCTCACGCGCTTTGTCGCTCGATATCTGATATCGTGCATTGCTTGCCGTCCCACTCTAACTAGTAAGTATTTATATCTCACGCGCTTTGTCGCTCGATATCTGATATCGTGCATTGCTTGCCGTCCCACTCTAACTAGTAAGTATTTATATCTCACGCGCTTTGTCGCTCGATATCTGATATCGTGCATTGCTTGCCGTCCCACTCTAACTAGTAAGTATTTATATCTCACGCGCTTTGTCGCTCGATATCTGATATCGTGCATTGCTTGCCGTCCCACTCTAACTAGTAAGTATTTATATCTCACGCGCTTTGTCGCTCGATATCTGATATCGTGCATTGCTTGCCGTCCCACTCTAACTAGTAAGTATTTATATCTCACGCGCTTTGTCGCTCGATATCTGATATCGTGCATTGCTTGCCGTCCCACTCTTACTAGTAAGTATTTATATCTCACGCGCTTTGTCGCTCGATATCTGATATCGTGCATTGCTTGCCGTCCCGCTCTAACTAGTGAGTATTTGTATCTCACGCGCTTTGTCTCTCGAAATCTGTTTCATCATCATCATCATCATATCAGCCGTAGGACGTCCACTGCTGAACATAGGCCTCCCCCATTGACTTCCACTTCGACCGGTCGTTAGCGGCCTGCATCCAACGCGTCCCTGCGATCTTGGCTAGGTCGTCCGTCCACCTTGTGGGAGGCCTTCCTACGCTTCCTGTTTAAAAATCAGATATTGTGGCAAACGCGTATGATAGCGCCGTATCGCGATTCGTGTCGGTATAGCGAGCGAGCACGGTACATCAGATTTCGGAAATATCAGATATTGTAAAATACATAGATATTGAACGAGCCAGTAAGCGATATTGGGATATTGTACTAATATCTAGTTTTCATATCTGATACGATTTGTATCGCCCACTTCTAATTCACTGTATACAGCGCCTTAACAATCATTGTTTTGGGTTCTACGGCGTTGGTAAAGGCCCCCAATAATAGTTTTCCCTCAAATATAATCCATGTATTGACAACGATCATTTTTATTATATGTATTGATATATTCTATATTGGTGACGAGGGAAATCAATTAATTTATAGAGTAAAATGACGTGTAATTTGTCCAATAGTGTTTCCCTGACAGTTTGATCCACTGATTGATATTGGAATAAACGTGTTGTTTTTAGTTTTTTTTTTGTTATTACTGCCTAGAAGACCTACCACAGTTGCATTGAATGATATTTTGGCAGAGCTTGACCAATTCTATTAACCTCAAGTGAATGAAATTTTACAAAGCGATAAATGTCAACAATGTCGAAGTGAAAATATTCAGGACAGCGATTATCAGCCTTGCCCCGCTTGCTTCTAGATGTAATTTTATAGACCTAAAAAGACAGTTGAAGGAGGGATTAGGGTTAGGAGTGCGCGATGATAGACTCATCAATAGACCTCTAAGTACTTTGGAAGTGCAAGGAGGAGATTTAATGGCGGATGAGTTTGTTCTTGAGGAACCTCCCCGTGGATTTAAAATTGTCTAATTAGGACCCTGCTAATTGTCTAATAAGGATACTGCAAAAGGTTTTATTTTACATGCTACACGGTTGGTCACCTAATAATACTGATCCCACTCCAGTGCTACGAGAGGCTCTTCTCACTTCCACACAATAAAGAATGTCCATTGTGGTGACTTCTTACAACAGCAGTTACTGAAGATATTGCGTGCACCACATGCTGGTATAATCCAAATGCTTATGCTAGAAGCTAAAAGCTTGTGACTTCTTAAAACAGCATTTACTGAAGATATTGCATGCACCACATGCTGGTATAATCCAAATGCTTATGCTAGAAGCTAAAAGCTTACGCTATAGAATACTTAGCGTTGGTTGGTATGGATGCACAAATAGAGACTATAACTCGCAGTCAGCCACACTGCGAGTTATGCCAGGCTGCAAGAAACAACCCACATAGATCTATACTCCCATCTCTTTCCTGATAAGGAGTGGATGTGGATTTTGAGCGCCCGTTTCAGGGGAAGGTTTTTTTGTTATGATCGACAGCAAATGGAGGCTTTTATTATCTACTAGCTGTGCCCGCGACTTCGTTCGCGTGGAATTTAAAATAAAAAAATCAAAAATAAAAGTAGCCTAAGTTACTCCTTATTACATCAGCTATCTGTCATTGAAAGTCCCGTCCAAATCGGTCCAGCCGTTTCAGAGATTAGCCAAACAGACAAAAATTGTAAAAAATGTTATTTTGGTATATGTACATCCATATGAAATTAGTAAAAAGCGGCTATTTTAATATTACAAACAGACACTCCAATTTTATTTATCTGTAGCGAAAACTCCGAAACTATTGAACCAATTTTTATCAAATTTTGTAAGCATTTGTAATTTTGTCCTACTTGGTCGATAGGGTATGGAATTTTTTCATGATTATGTCGTGTAAAAATCTTCGTGGTCTTATTTTTTTAGTAGATATGTAATGCCATTTAAGTATCTAAGACAAAATTACTTTGTGCATGAGTATAATTAAATATGTCCAAAAATTGTTGTATAGAAAATATTAACTTAATTTACTTTGTTTCCTGGGCTGAAAAAACCAAATTAAAGTTATACGTAGTACTTACTAATTGTTGCTTTTCCACTCCTGAAAACTTGTTGGTTTTAGCTAGACTTTTAGAAAGTCAGGCAACTATATGTGCAAAACATTAAATAATAACTAAACAATTGTTCAAAAACCACGATTTCATCTAACTGGAGTTTTTGATTTTCTTTCGTAGAAACCAGCTCGGCAATTTGAATAATAAATCAATGAAAGTTTCAGCACAATTTTTTCAAAAAAATTATAACAACGTACCAATTAAATTTTTGCCAGGATTAGAAATCGTTTATCGTCTGAACCCTGGGGACCTGCGGTGGGCGGGCCCAACCCAACAGTTCACTGTTGCACGAATGGGCAGGTACGGACCTGCCCATTCGTGCAACAGTGTACCACGTACGCACCTGTACGGACAGGTAAGAGGAAAGTACCACGACCTCACAGAAGAACGGTGTGGGCTGGAAATTTTATATTTCTGCGTTTCGTGTGGTAGCCCGGGATGCACTTTATTAAAGGGTTTCAACAGATTTGCAACCTTAAAGTTGTTGTAAATGAACGGGTGGCGATTATCATTTAACATCAGGCGGACCGCCGGCTCGCTTGGCACATTCTCATATAAAAAGTTTATGGAAGGAATCTGGGAGTCCCTTATGGTGATCCACCACGGTTTAACTAACCATTATTTGAGTTTCGAAATAACAAAATTTCAATACAATACATACGTTTTATTCAAGCAATATTGTGAAAAAAAAAATATTAACATTAATTATGAACTTGTTGATCAGGCGCCGATGGACATTGGAACTTCGCGAGTAAACGCTCGTTTTCTTCTTTTAACGCCATTATAACTTCTTCTCTTTCCTGCGAATGAACCAAATTCATCATCAAAGGTGACAATAAAAACTATGTGTTTAACAGCGAAATTTAATATCAACTTATTGAAAAAAAAAGTATTCGAAAGGCCATAATCATGTCTATAAGTGGTGATTAAGTGGTTAATGAGCACATGATGATTAATGAGCACATCTAATGACTAGGCAATGAAGTATAAAAACTTTTGACTACCTCTAGTTTTTGTTTAAAATTTTCATCGAGTTTTTGACGATCCTCTGTAACCTCCTTGAGTTTAGCCCGTGCTGCTGCAGGTGGGACGTAGCGAGCTGAAAGTCCTAGAATAGACTCCATTTGGAAGCATCGTGACCGCGTTGATTTGAGCTCAGTGCGCAAGTTGTTAATCTCGGATAGAAGAGTACAGTTTTCCTTAAAAAAAGGATACAATTCGAATACCGAAGAAAAATGTTAGTATAAAAACACGCTGGAAAAAAACAAGGGAACCGGTTACTGCCATGTGAATAAGTTAATAAAGTATATCACTTATTTTTTAGTATACTATATCTTTTATTTTCTTTAGAGCGCCACTCCTTTTAATCGTCGCTACTTATTTCAACCGTAAAAATAACATTTTTAACAGAACATTTAAACGATAATAATTTTTTTTTTTTCATTTAAGTATGTTAAAGGCTTATATAATGGACACATTCGATTTTACATCCATAATTTTTGTGATGTCGCTTTTGGACCCGCCTAGCGATTTGGCTAATTGTTCTTTAAGTGCAGCGATCTGCTTCTCCAGATGATCACGCTGACGATTGAACTCCCGCACCGCTTCGTCCTCAGCCACACGGCTCCGGAGAAATTCCGCGTCCTCCACGTACTTGTGAAATAAGGCCTGTCGAATTATAAATGATATCGTAGTACGTAACCCTTCACGATAAAATTATAGTTAAATAATAGCTTATATACTTATGTTCCATTGCTGAGCAAAATTGGGTATTAGGGCGTAGTCCACCACGCGACCCCACTACGGATTGTGAGACTTCGCACACCTTCGTTAAAAAATGTTAACAACCGGTCTTTCATCTCTTGTGACCTAAAAAAACAAGCGGTGACCAAAAATTTCATCGATGGTAGAGGTCTTAGTTGCCTTAAATCCCCTTTTATCTTACTTTCTTTTTTTTAGACCTTGTAGATTTCTTTCTTAAGACCGACATAAAAACTTTGGAAAGGAGGTGGAAGAAATGTATTGTGATAGATACAAACTTAAATGTACTGGTACTTAAATGTATTGGTTACTAATGTATTATTTTTTTTTTACCTTGACACTCAATTTCAATTTTGTAGGGTCTTGTAGGTTCGCGGACATGTTGTGGAGATCAATCTTAATTTTTTTTAATGTATTCTTTAAGTTTAAGTTCCTATCGGCTTCAGCTAAATAATCTTTTTTAGCAGATGACAATTTTTCGTTCAACTGATTAATAGAAAGCTCTGAAAGAGGTTTATTCATTAAAATGGATTATGAAAGTTATTCTCGGTTAATTCATTTAGATTTGCAATGATACATGACAGTGTTATATGCATCTAAAATCTTAAGGTATTTAAATTTTTTTCATCTGATGTGAATATATTACATCTAAAAGACATGTGCATTATAATTCTAGTGATACGTATTCTACGTCCGGATATAAATGTGTAGATTACGTTATCTAATGGAACAGTAATTAACGCTTTGTGCAAGTTGCTGATGTAAACTCGGTGAGCGTATAGATAACAACGGCCCGCTAATATTAGCACTATAGTATAAATTATGTGGACATCTGCGTACTAAGACAACCGTGAAAAAAATTACAACCGAGTGTAAGTAGATGCTTGTAAATATGTATTACCGCGAGAAGCTTTTTGCTTCAACAGGTTTTCGAGCGATACTTCTAATTCGAGGATTCGTACTTTTTTCTCTTTTATTTCGCGCTCTAACGGCTCTATCTGCATACGATCAGAATATTTTAGCAGCTGTAACTTTTTTATATGAGTGATGAGCAAAATGGTATCTACGGTTGCAAGAGAAGGAGAGGCCATTCAAAATTAAAATCTCAATACGCATACTAAGCTCATGCTTGGTATTAAGTAGTTTCAATTCTTCATTCTCCATATCATCTATCTGGATTTTCAACTCCTGAATAGTCCTCAGTTTAGGCTCAATCTATATACCAATTATTAATTATCAACTTTTTTATATTTACCGATACAATTATCACCAAAAAACAACTTTAGTTTGTTAGGGAAGAATAATTTGAAACAAAAGAAATTTAGCCTGGCAGAGAAGAAGTGGTAGTTTAGACTTTTTGTTTCTTATATCTATATGACATCATATCATAACTTTATGACAGCTCGAAACACATTCTTCTGTACAGGACTTGTTGATTTTGTGATAACTCGAACATCAGATCTAGCCAAAACTTGGTATTTATAGTGAAATGGAGTCATAAAGTAGTCCTAGGTTTACGGGACAGTTCCTGTCTTTTTCTAATCCTTTAATCTCGCGAGCTTTTTGACCAACCCTCGTAAATAGTAAAAATTTGAAAGAAACAGCAATATGCTGTCATGGTTTTATTGAATAATACTACTCTGCAACTCTATATAAGATAGAGCCGTGATAGCTCAGGGTCCGGGCGCTCGCCTTTAATTCAATATACTCGAGCAACCTGAGTTCGATCCCCGGTGCCAGCACCAATGAAATAGTCAATATTAAGTGCTGAATTATCACGTGCTCAGCGGTGAAGGAAAATATAGTGAGGAAACCTGCATAATTTCGAAATAATAACAAAAAAAAATATTTCGAAGATATGTGAAGTCCACCAATCCGCAGTGGACCCGCGTGGTGGACTATGCCCTGATACTCTCAGTACATAGGAGGCCTTTGCCATGTATAGGCTGATACTTTACTTTACTATAAAAAAAGTCGCATGGTGTCGGCGTAAAAGTAAGCCACACCATCTCATCCCGTGGGTATCTAATAGGCGACTAAGGAACAAGCCACAAACATCTGGTGGCCACCAATAGATGGCAGGATAACCATCTCGACTCTCCAGGTACCCTAAAAACTAGGCCATGGGCATTAAAGGAGAGAAGTGTCTGGAAAAACTGCAATTATGGCAAAATCCCTCTTTATGATAGATGTGCTTCGCGGCCGTCCGGGGGAAAGGGGGGGTGACTATGTTCATCGGTGGACTCGAATACACTAAAGTGATAATGATGATGATGATTAAAAATGATGCTCACGAGGTTATTGATAGTTTTATTTGACAGTGAATTTTCACCATTTCTTATAGCTGTACTTTAACTTTAATCAATTCATGGACACCAGATATAACTGATGTGACAGCGAAAGGGAATCGGTTAGGGTTTTAGTGGATAATCGAAGAGTTCAAATACATTACTTATAATAGGCCTAACTTAATTTGTTATCTTTTATTATATTAATGTCAGAACTTACTTGATTCTTTAATTCAGTTATTTTAAAATTCAACACAAATTTATACTTTTCCAATTCTTGTTTTTTCCTTTTCAATTCATAGATTCTTTTTTCTTTATCTTGAATCGTTCCATCTCGCTCGCAAATTTCCTTTTTTAAATCCGCTACATCTCGTTCCAACGTTGATATAACTTTTTGAAATTGCTTATGCTCCGCTGTTAATTACAAAACTCTCGTTACATAAAACTTCGATATTGTTTTGAAATTAAATTTTAATACTAATATGTAAAAATATTATATATTTTATGTTAAAAATTTTAACCTTTTAACTGAGACACTTGATGCTTAAATTCATCAATTTCCTTATTTGCAGCGATCAGTTTCTTTTTCATTAAACCCGTTTCTCCCTTGAGCCTAACATTTGCATCTTTTTCTTCTTTCAGTTGGGCCTCGTAAGTGGTTCTGATTTCAATAATCTCGCGATCGGCGTCTTCTTCGATTGAAGCTTTTATTGTTTCATGTTCCTTCTTTGCCATATCAGCTTGTTCTTGCAGCTTATCAATACAATTAGTAATAAAATTGGCTATATAATTCTTTATAATAAAATATATTAGTAGTTACGATGTAATATACCTTGCCCTCTACTTACCTCGAGCAAAATAAGTTCCTTTTCTTCTAGTTTGGCTTCGAACTTTTCATTTAGTTCACGAAGCGCTTGACGTTTACTTTCTGCAAGCCCTTCTAGCAGACTTTCATATTCCTTTCTCATTCGAGCCGTTTTATCTTCTAAACTCTGAAGTTTTCCAAAATTTTAGAGACAGAAGACACGGCTTTGTTAAATAACACAATACGTACATAACACTTACCTGGTATCTGTCGTACTCACTTATGAGTCTAACATTGAAATCCGCCTCTAACGCTTGAAGAGTTCTTTCATGGCTTGAACGTAACTTCGCAATATCTTGTTGAATCATTCCAATTTCATGTGTGTGCTCATTTTCCATTGTCTGCGTATTAGTAATAATACATTAAAATGAAAATATTTCAGTATATTCTAATTGCAGTACACGATGCATACCTCATTTTTCTCTTTAAGTTCTTCAATAGCAGCGCAGTAACCTTCGTGGACTTCTTTCAGCTTCTCAGCCTGAGTGGCCTCAGCTTGGCGAAGCTGGTAAGTATGTTCGGTTTCAAGCTCACTCATTCTTGTACTAAGCAACTAAAAATTCAAGATAAAATTAAACCTGAAGGCATCTTACAATAGAAAAATATGACACCTATTGCTTGTATATCCTAGAGAAATAGAAGAATACTAAGTGCCAATGTATGTTTATATAACTTACATTTATATTGTTAATTTTCTCTTGTAAATCTTTCTTACTTATCAAAATCTCCTTTGAGTACGCAAAATCTTTGTCTAATGCTATGGCCCTGCCATCAGCGTTTGTAAGACGCCACAAACAGATGGAGGAATCTTCTGCGACGGACACGAGCGTTTGATCGTCATATGCCAAGGCGATTGCGGTAACTTTCTTGTTGTGCATATGAAATTCATTGTAAATTGCTTTATCAAGGAGTGGGAGCTGGACGGTCGTGACCCCTCCCTCCCCGCCAGTAATGAAAAGCATCATGTCTGAACGGGACAGAAGAATCGTGTCCAAGGCGCATCCGATTAATCCCAAATTTCTTCTAATCGTATTGGAACCGATTTCTTTAATTTCTCCATCGGTGCCAACACCATATGTCGTCTTCCCGATGCTGAAACAAGTAACAAACCGTACAGTAACATTGTTAAGAGTTTTTTGTTATATTACGATGGCAGGATTAAAGAAGTAGATTTTCACGAGAAGAATAAACCTGTTGATGGCACAAGCAGTGAACTGATTCGTTTTGAGTATAACTTCACCGACGCGTTGTCCCGTGGACATACTCCATTCGTAAACAGCTCCCTCCGTTCCGCATGATACCAAAGTAAGATCATTAGCCGACCATGCCAAACAAGTTATCTGTAACACAATAAGTTATGTTTATGCATACTACCCAATTACCTAATTCGAATTTCGGGATCATGTAACGTATTACAAGATAAACAAAACAACGTGAGATTGAATGCTTTTACCATCTAACTCCTAAATTTCTAAAACATAAGTATATTTTTTCTTATTATTTATTATAAATCTTGTCCTGATATATATTATATCAGATGATGTTTTTTTAGGTACATCAATGATATCTTAATTATTTATTTTGTTACCTATTAAATATAATCTTCCTCGTTACAAAAAAAATATTTATATTTCACGAACACTTACTCTACCATTGTGTCCCTTTAAATTAAATACGTTTTGGAATGACACTGAGGAGAAAACTTGTATCACTTGACCGTTGACAGCGGCAAATAGGTGTCCATTTGTGCTAAATTTCGCTTGTTTGCAATTTCGTATTGGAAATTCTCGCATCACTTCGAAATCGTCAATAAGCACAACCATATAACGTAGTTTATCGGAAAATCCAACGATAGCAAATAACCCTTAAAAGAGACGGTGCAAGAAAATTAGTGGAAAATACAATGTGTTTAACTCTTAACAATTACAGATTTTGTTTATATCTGTAACTCTATTCACGAGTCACCGAAAATATCCCGTGAAAATATGGGACTAGTGCGAGATAATAAGTTCGGGAGGCGACGTCTTTACCAGACCACCACTGCTTCTTCTCGATTCACTTAACAAATAGCCAATTCATTAAAATACTTTTATACTTAATATTATATAATACTATCTTTATATATATAATTCTTTTGTACGTGTATATGTCACTGAACTCCTCCTAAACCGCTGGCCCGACTGGATTTTAATGAAATTTCGTGTGTGTCTTCCTTAAAGGTCGATTCGAGAATGGTTCAGATTCACAATTCGGTCCACATTTTTTTTTATTCATAAGTTGTTTTCGGATTTAAGTCGTGTGTACAGGACAACGTCTGCCGTCCGCTAGTTTTATTTATATCCCATTTAACATCAGTATTATTTATGGACCTAATCTTGTGAATTGATACTCTTGTAAAATGTTTGTGATATTTATCAAGAAACAATCCCTTCGACTATATCAGCAAGCATTATCATGATGTAAAAACAACTATATATAATGAGAAGAAAAATTCTGAATTAATCCTTAATACCAGTCGGATGCAGCGACACGCAATGAATCTCTTCCTGATAAAGTTTGATCAATTCCACGTCATCCGTCATGTAATTCCATATTCGGATGCTTTTGTCTTCTTCGCCAGATGTCATAAATATGGGCTTCCAAGCACACATTGAAAGGGAGTTTATTCTGCCGTAGTGCATCGATGGACCAAGTTCGGTAAAAGCTATTTCTGGATTCTATAAATAAAAATGTTTAATGATGCAAAGATCTTGATTTTGGCATTGGCAAGTTTTCGTAATGTCGGTGAGTCTTATTATTGTGTTATACAAAAACTGTAATAATGATGCCATTAAAACAGTCGTCGAAAACCATTAGCGAAGATGCGAAAATAAATAATTTTTTTCATGCATGGATTTTTAACTGCTAACGGCAAAATTTTGTAAATGGGTACACTCTAATGATGGAACGGGTACATCGCAACTTTAACATTTCACGCATTTGAAAGAAAAAAACTAAAAACTGGTTACCTGAAGCATGTGTTGGCCAAACAACTTAACGTTATACAACTGTTTACGCAACGTCGTTATGAGCAGTGTTTCTTGGTTCGGATCGATTGTTATATGTTGGATATCGTCTAAAGGTGACCACATTGGATGTTCTCTGGTATGTCTTAAAGTAATAACATAATACGTAGAAAAATAAAGAGTAAATAAATTGTTAAAATAAATTTAAAGTTAAAATTCTACAAAAGGTACTACACACATTAATGTGCCAAGAAATGGGCATACGTTTCTAAATACTTATATTTATACTCTCTATTCAAGAGTATCTACATAAATGCGCTCTAAAAACATTAACCACTTTCAGCAATCAGGTAAAAGATCAATCAATCAGGAAAGGTCAATGAGTGTTTTCATGAAATTTGTTTTGATCCAATGACACAATAATAACTTACTTATAAGACTTCTTTGAGATTCTGAACACATTTCTCTTTCTCCAGTGATGAATTGTCTCTTTTTCGAACATATGAACATAGCCGGGGCCACATGAATAAGCTAACCCTGCAATTGAAATTGTATATGACTTTTACGAAAATACTAAATAAGTAACAACCTTATACCATAATATAAGGAAAAATAAGAAAGCGGGATAAAATTAAACAACTTGTTATTCTCTGGTTTCATACTTGTTAGTTTCGTTTTTAAATCTTACGTAATATAAAATGATAATGTTAATACACACATTTAATGACAAAAAAAAATCAATTTGAAATAAATCTCAGGCTGCTCATTTTTCTACGAATCTTTGGACACACTTATCTCAGGGGTCCGTATAAAAAATATGGCAATTTGAGGCATATTCTCTCAATTCAACAAATTGAAAATTAAATCACCTTTTTGAAAATTAACAAAGCAGGTAACAGGGTATGTTTCAGACTCTGCGAGGGCCTGGTCGCTTGTTGTTTCAGGCTTGCTGCCAGTACTCGTTTTGTCACTTTCCTCAGATCTATTTTTGACAAACAACAAAGTAGCACATACACATTACAATAGTAGATACAAATATAAATGTTGAATGGAATACAGTTTATATAGTAGTAGTTTTGTTAAAACTCTATACGTTTCGTTGCGAACTCCATCACGCAGAAAATACTGAGCATAGCCCGCTCTATAGCTTGCTGAGCAACTTTAAGTTTCCTCAAACAGCCAGCAGTAAGCTCACTGGTAACATACATACGCTGTACGCAGTATAACAAAGGTAACCAACATAGCTTAGAAGATTAGCAAGCTAAAGTGGCAATGGGCCGGCCATATAACTCTTAGAATCGATAACCGATGGGAAAGAAAAGTTCTTGAAGGGCAACCTAGTACTGGCAATCGCAGTGTAGGATGACCGAGTGCTAATGATGTGTATATTTAATATTTATATTCTTGTTTAACTTACTCTGCTTCGACTTTCTTGAGAGACATTTCGAGGACATCGAATGCCCGAAAAACACAGTTTTGGCGCAATTCGCCGTTCTCGACCATCATTATGACGCCGCTATCAGTCCCAAACAAGATTCGATCAGGCGTGAGCCACATGCAGCTAGTGATGTTGATCTAATGCCACATGGAAGTATCAATATGTATTTAATTGTATATCACTAATTGAATCAGAACTAACATGGCGCCCTAAGCAAACGAATTGGAAAACGATAAAACAAATATTTTCAACTAAATTAAGCAATTCAAACAGATGAAATAAGTATCATGAAATAAGTAATTGGAAGTAGAAGTACTCAAGCTGAACGACGACCGTACAACTTCTGTATGGTCCTTCTAAAACTCTCAAGTATGCTGCCGGATTGAATTTAACTTAGAAGTATCTAGGATTGCCAATGGTATAATGTACAGTACACACTGTACTATACTATATTTTGGTGTCTCTGTAATCTTGAAAAAGTAGGTATATTACAGTATGTGAAATACTAGAATTTAAGGCGGGTCAATACATCTTTCTAGCAATATATATTTTATCAAAGAAGTTACTTCATTTTTTATGGCTTATTTTGAAAAATACTATATTTAAACAAAGAAATGAGAGCAGCCCCCGGACTACCACTATGCTCCTCTTCGATCTAACGTTTCTGCATATAAGCAAAAAAATTCGACCAAAGAAATCGTAATAATGCAAATCAATTATTTTTTACGTGAAAAGTTGGCAAGCGAGCAGGCGGTTCACCTGATGTTAAGTGACACGTTTCCTTTGGACACGATAAAAAAATACTTCACGCCGTCTATGGGGCCGTGGTACTTTCGTGCCTGTCCGTTCGTGCAACTGGATAATGCAATGTGGCGCTACCAAAATAAAAAAATCATCAAATTATCAAAACTATTAAATCCACCTACATTTTCTGCTTTACACCATCCCCATTGACGCCAAACAGTTTCGGATACGTTCATGATACGAAACGTATATGGTCCGGTAACGACGACCAATGTCGCGTCAGTCGGATTGCACTGTACCTAAGTCACATAATACATTCATTTATATTTGTGTATTTCTCGACTCACGGCTTTACAGTTAAGTAACATGTAGTCATATCTGTTAAGATACGCTAATAACGTAATTTACATACAGGTGAAAAAAGAGAGAATTTATCACTTTTACATGCTAATGAAAAATTCAATTTGATTATGAAGACCAAATTTCATAAATAATATTTCCCCATTTAGTCATGTCATATTCCTTCGATCGATGCGCATACAGTTTACAGTTTTTTTTTAGTTTATTTCACCCAGACACAAAATATGACTTACTAAATAATATGAGACCATTTCATTGTCTCATAGTGTAATGTTGATCTAAGTTAGCGAATTTTTTCTCGACGTATCTTGTATCTTGTATTAACTGATGTTTGTGCTTTCAGTCCAGAGACTATTAAAGCTTCATCTGACGCAGAACCGGTGGGCTAGCCAGAACCCACGGGTTTGGGCCCTCCGCTGTGGGTAGGGCCGCGCATGTGCTCATGCGTGCGTTTAACTACGGCATGTCATCTAAGGGCCATCGAAGTAGCGGTGCGGACCGAGACCCCGATGGCCGTCGACTGTGTTTTTAGCTAATCGGTGGCTGGGGGCGGTGAGAACCGCCCTGGAACGCGGGTGTACCTTGTGTACGCGTTGTGTTGGTCTCGCCGTGCTCGGAGGCGAGGGCGAACTAATGTGTTTGTTGCTACACTAACTGTGTGTGTAGTGTTATCCGGCGGGACCCCGACGGTGGGTCCGACGTACCTAAGTCCCCTTCCTCGACCAGGTCGATGAGGACGTTTCGCGGGCGGCGCTTGTTGACGCTCGCGTTTAGATCGGGTTGGTAATTTGCTGTTCTCGACGTTATTGACCTGCAGCTGTATATTAATTAGTGTCAATGTTGTACATTACTTAAAGTTGTGAAATGTTTTCATTCTTGATTAATTAGCTTTTATTTGCCACATTAATAATAATAAATAATAAACATTTTCACACAATGTTCTATTGTCCCAAACTAAGCAACGCTTGTACTATGGGTACTAGATAACTGATAAACGTACTTTTCTTTTGTAAATAAATACATATTACACATACGTAAACTCCCAGACACTGTAAAAACACTATGTTCATAACATTTTTGCAGCAGTGGGGATCGAACCCACACCCTCTGGCGCAGGAGGCAGGTTCACTACCCACTGCGCCTATCGGGTCGTCACAATGAAAACTGAATGGTAAAGACAGATAGCGGAATGGTGTTAGTTGTCTGTGTTCTGATCTTGCCCGAATCTGACACTAAAAAGGACAACTTTATAAAAATAGTTCATCATTCAAAATGTCCCATGCATGACATCGTGAAAAAATAATATTTCGTAGATCTGTGAAGTCCGCTTATTCGCAGTGGGGGTGCGTGGTGGACAATGCCCTAATACCCTTTGTACAGAGGAATCTTTGCCCAGCAGTGAGGCATATACAGGCTGTTTGCTTGCTTTACTTTTTTTACTTTTGTGTCTGTGATTTCATATTTATGAGCCCCCCGCGACACAAGGATTGTGCGCTTGTGTAGGATTCCTAAAAAATCAACTGTGGCACTCGAAGACTGCCGCGATAAAGCTATTGCATAGCATCTTTTATCAACTTTGCACTTATAATTTATTTTTTATTTATGCAGTATTTTTTTCTCTTATATTTATATTAATAATTAATAATATTTTTAATAATATAATTATTAATATATATATTATAATTAATTATATATCATTTATTTATATTATTTACAAAAATGATAAGAACTAAGACAGTCATAGTAAGTAGGATAGTTAAATTACAATATACTAACATTTTAAAACTTGTGATATCTTTCGAATGGTATGTCCGAATTTAATAATTCATAAAGTTATATAAAGATATTTAAACAGTCTTAAATATGAAGTAATTTATTTTTATAAGGATTAATATCAAGATACAAATAAAGAGCCTTTTCTAACGGCGGCATTTCAATCAAAATTAATAAAAGGACACTTGTGGCATAACTATAATAGTTAAGACATCTGCTGTCGCGACACTTTTTATAAATAATGATATGTTCTGCAAATTCTTAGTACTTTATTTTATTATATCATCAATAGTTTTCGCAGCGCACGCGATGTAAAAAATATTTTAGGTAGTTTTTGTAAACTTTGGGTTACATTATTGAAGTTTTAGTAAGGATCCCCAGTTTTTTTGAAAATATAATATAGCCTAAGTATGTCATCCTGGGATAATGTAGTTTCCCAACAGTGAAAGAAATTTTCAAACCGGTTCAGTTGTTTCGGAGCCTATTCAATGCATACAAACAATCAAGTCTTTCCTCTTACGTGGTAGGCGGAGTGGGGGGTATTAGGTTTTATTTTCGTTACGGAATTTCTTGATTCGGTCGCCGCGCTCAAAGCCCGCGATAAAATCTATGCTTAAAAATAATAATTACATAGAGCTACGTAAAGAAGAGATTAAACATTACGCTCTCAACGATCCCTTGACCACTTGGGTTTTGTGCCTTTGCGTGGCTTTCCACTTTTCCTTTGTCCCAGTTGTAATAATAGAGGTACCAGTCCGGCTCTCCCGTTATCGCCACAAGATATTTTGAATCGTAAGTGAACTGGACGCACGCAAACTCTCTAGCTGTCGAGTTCTCAAACGGAACTGTGAGGATCTTGCGTCTTTTGTATGTCGTCAAGTCATAGATTGTTATAATGGGCTTTTGACCTTCGTCGGCGATTTCGTTAAGTGCAAGCCAACGTCTGTAAAACGCAATAATTTTACAATACGTCAGTCAGTAGTATTGCAAGCGATATTATCTACTAAATTAGGTATAAATACCTATTAGGAGCAAGCACCAGCGACTTTATAGGTTTGTGTTTATCTTGAAGTCTTATAAATTTCTGTTTCTTTTGAAGATGATTATGAATGACAATCACGCCGCCGGCTACATAGATGATCTCCGAATCGCTCAAGTAATGCGCATTATATCTGTAGGTAAAATATTGAATCATCAGGTTAGTTTGACGTTGATTGAATTAAAAATTAATCTATGGTTAAATAAAAACTATATTTATTTTACATCGCGTTTTATTTTAATTTTTAATTTCCAACTCGATGTTTCAACAATTTTCCAGCGTTCATGGTCACAGAACAAACAATTTTGTCAAGATAATACGCGAAAAAGTCCGTGAAATAGTTAGATTTTAACCACTGTTAGTATTCACGTAAATAAAAGAACTCTTTTCTTCGATATTAGAGACTGGAATGAAACTCACAACCTGACTCTGATCCTTTGAAGTGAGGGAAAAAAGGCACTTGTTTCGGATACTATTTGCGGAGACACAGTCTATTGTCTCATCTTGTACTGTGATCAACCGGATTGTGTCATAGTAGACTTCTAAGGAAACGACGCAATAATGAGTCTCTTAATGTGGAAAACATTTGCACTGTTTGCTTTTGCATTTGCGTTTGCATTTAAAATGAAACTCTAAAAAATAATTACATCATCATATCATTTTTGCCGTTGAAAAGAGGGACGGTTAAGTATGGATACAGGCACACATCATAGCTATCCATAAAGCGAGGAAATGCGTTGTTTGTGACCACGCTGCGAGAAAGTGTGTTAGACAATTAGAATAATAATTATAAATTTAAAATTATTAACATTCATAAACTTAAATTTATAGGCATAATGTTAAATAGTATTATAAATCAGTTTTGGTTAGTTTAATACTTAGTTTTTAATTTTATGATGTCAGCCAAGTTTCAAACTAGTTTTAGTTATATCCCAAATACCTAGTTTGTATATTTTATGGTTTCGTAAACATTTGTAAGAGGTACTTTGACATTTGTGAGTATTGATTTGTTTAAGATGAATCTGTAGTAGTAGAATTTCTTGTTGTTTATCTTAGACCCAAATTCTTTTTACAGAACAAAATATTTATATAAGCAAGTTTAACTCACTGAATTTCAGTACGGAGTCCGTAGAAGATTCGAGCAGAAATATTTGGCGGTGTATTAATTGCCATTTTAATCGTTTTTCTTCGAGTATAATAGACACAAAAAGAGTAATGTTACAAGAAGCCTTTAGTTACTAGAAAATACGACTGCAAAATCGATTACCTTATTATAATGGTCGCTATGGATACCAAACCATCTTAAAGACGTTAAGTTTTCACTTTTTTAAGTAAAAGTACTAATGTAAAATAAAATTTAAAGGATACAATTAAAAAGTGATAACGATAAATAAAAAATGAAAATTTTTATTTATTTATTTGTAATGTATTAGTGTATGAGCAATAACTTGAATGCTAAGAAATTAAGAATTCGTTACAGTCGAAGGCCAACAATATTCAACATCTTTCTAGTTCAGTGAAAAATATATGGAGTGAAATGCGGTTTCACTGTACATTTAAAATTTGTACAACCACCTTTAATATATTAGAAGCCCTACTACTACTATTGTTTTCTCAACCTTAGAACTAATAGTTCAAACTTCAAAGCTATAAAATCTTCATTAGAATAAACGATTTGCAGTAAAGCATTTTGCATAACCTCTGAGTAATAGGGTGCTCAGAATAATACTGAGAATGTAACGTATCCAACAAAATGCGCATCGTTACGGATAAATTCACCATTTAGCTCTTCTCCGCTTGATTGGTGCTCAATGTCATACGTCGCGGCGCATCCTCTTTGTAATATCTGAGGTAAGTCGCAGCTTCCTTCGGACAATACAAATGACCACGCGTGCACACTGACAAGTGTGAACGAGACGTGGTATGACTTGAAAATGCTTCCTCGTCAACGTGATAATAATAAACGCGTGGAATGTGACATTTCACTTTTAGAAGTTACACTTTTGGCGCGTTTGGAAAAAAATATGAGAAGCGACATAATGAAATTGGTTGCAAATCGACCAACTTCACGGTATTATCATCATAACCGAATACCATTTTTTTTGACATTATCTACTTATAGTTCTACAATTACAAGTTATTTGATCAAACCGTTATCAATGCATATAATACATTTTTCACAAACAAAGAGTAGGTACTGGCAGTTGACACAGGGGAAAAATGTTTAGTTATTTTTCTAGTGTTACGCTAAAGAAAAATAAATTCTTACGTGCGTTCATAAATATACACATACTTTTGAAGTTATAGAAAATTTTTTACGATGCGCGCGCACACCGTCACGAAAAACCGACACCCTGAAGTTAGCTAGACATATATGTATGTTTGCGTGAGAACTGACAACTGTATTCACGATATTTATTTTGTGATATTTAAATAAACTTTATTTAACTAGATAATGCGTTATAATAAAACTTTCAATGTATTAAATAACTTTTTTCTATTCTTAGTGTCGTTTTTTCTACAAATGTAGAATAAGGCGAAAGATAAAATTTTTGAAAAGATTTTTACCTTTTTACACCAAAGGAGTATAACTTCTAACACGTGTAGGTACATAAGTATACACACACACACTTTTTTGTATTTTCTTACATCGTTTAGTTTTTATTTAGTTACAGAACAGATTAAAAAAGAGAGAAAAAGGTGGTAGGGCCACGCAGCAGCCTCGGCTGTTGCACGAATGGGCAGGCCCGGCCGGGTAAGTACCACGACCTCACAGAAGACCAGCGTAAAGTGGAAGTATGACAAATACTTTCGCGTTTCGTCTGGTGAGTGAGGTAGCCGTAGCCCAATTTTCAAAAGATTGTCAACACATCTGCAACCCTCGGGTGTAACAGATGTCCATGGGCGGCGGTATTCACTTACCATCAGGTGAACCGTCTGCTCGTTTCGCAACATTTCACATAAAAAAAAGATATTTGGTGTTGCTTGAAAACTAAAGAGAAAGCTGTTGCTGCTAAAACGGGGTAGGTAAATAAATAAAGAGCGAAACTGGCCCGACAGAAGTGTGCCGTAAAATCTAGACTTTACTAATTACACGTCTCTAATTTCTCGACAAACACGGTTGACCCAGCAGTGTACGCCGTACGCCTGGTACTAGATTTTTTAAGTCTCGATCACGAACTAACAACGATGGAGTTCCCTGTAATAATAACAAAAACAACATATTTAGTCACTGTTTATGTCGCTACATGCAAAAAATCTAAATAATTTCGAATTAATCTTTGAAGTGATAAGATATCATAATATATAAACTTAACGCCCATTTTATGTATACCTAATAATGTATAGAACTATTTATCTAACTAATTATTTATTTATTCAACTTTTACAAGCGACGGACCAGACACATGAGCGATCAATTTTATTTAAGGGATAATAAATTCAACTTTTGAACTAAAGTACAATAACGGATCCTTTTATAAATTTGCCGTGCCCACTCCGAGTTATATCAAATGACAATTGACCTAGTCAATGAATAAGCAGTACTGAGCAATTGATACAAAGCAAGTTTTCTTCCCAGGCGGTTATACACCTCTGGTGCATACATCTGCATTCAGAGACCGCCGTAATAATCTAACAACTGAGTCAATGACCTTTAGATTTATTGGTTTGTTAGTAATTACTTGATAGGAATAAGTTTAGGTCTTATGAACATTCTTCTTCGTCATTTAACCGTGTCGATTCGGCGGGTCATGACCCTATAAGAAACAAAATGAATGAGTTTGTAAAAAACTTCCTTCTACCATCTCGTTTCAAGTATTGGGTGGGCAACTAAGTAATTGCGGATTTTTTAAATGAACTAAAAGTTTCTTTTGCCACCTCTCTGACAACTTTAAAATTCTAGGTTCGTAGAAAATCGCTGTTAAGGCGCTGTATGCAGTAAAAATAGGTTTTTCAAAAGATTTTTTAGCAAAATCTACACATTTTATAGCAGCAAAAAAAAATATGTTAATCTTGATCGTACATTCTAATGGAACATTGTTTCCAAAATATATTCTCGATATATTTTCTCGATAGAAAAAAATCATGAAACTACCTCTAAAAGAGAAATTCAAATCCAAAAATGAACGTAATACATCAACAAATCTTAATGAAATTAATATCAGTGGTGTAGAATATATTAATAAAAAGGATTGTTGTTTTAATTTGATGATTGATGTAAGATATTTGTAAATATTAATTTAATTCATTAAAATTAATTCGAACGCGATGGCCAAAACACCGCGCCACCGCGGCGTTGTTACGGTTCTCTTCCAACTCCACACGTTGAACAGAGAGCGCCTTGCTAGATGGACCTATGCCGCTCATCGCCCGCTCACCGTTACGAAATATGTTTCGTATTTATTTATTATTGACCGTTTTAATATTATTAGACCTTCCAAAACACGAATATATATATATATTCACATATTTCGTATTTATAAATTATTTGTATGTATTAACAGTTGTTAATTAATTTATTTAAAGCGTAATTTCAATGTCTTATCTCGTGATTGGTCTATCAGTCCTATACATACAGTGTATAGGACCATCTTTCTTTATGGATTGGGTTCATATCCCTAAATTTTTTTTTGTACTTATTGTTGATTTTCTTATTTGGAAATATTTCTTAATTACCATTTAATTTGTGTTGATTTTTTATTTTCATAAATAATTACAACGAAATATTATTGTATTTGTTCAAAGTTGAAACAGTTGGAGAACAATCTATCAGTAAATAAACCAACTTTTAGTATTAAAATTATTTAACGTCGTCTATTTTTTTATTAAAATATTTTATTTTTCACCCTAAAACGAAAAATTTTCTTATACATGAAAAATAATTGTTTTATAATTTTTCTTATTAATTTATTTATTTCCCAAATTGAGCCATTTTATAAAATAAAAACAAAATAATTTGTTGGCTAACAAATTAAAAGTGAAAATAATATAAAAAATACAACTCCACTCGATGAGGGTTTGAACTTGAGACTTAGTTTACCGTTGTGTATAACGCTCGGACCAAAAGGCTACGCGAGGTCTGTGCAAAGTGACAAAATTTCGATTTTTTTTATAATTGCTGTCGTTAATCCATACAAATAAAGATTTTATCGATAGTTTTTTAAATTTCATTTAAGTTGAGAAAGTGATATAACATAGTAAATCTTGAACATTTAAAGGGTAAATTAAAATTCCTAATATATAAAAAAAATGTAATAAAAAAGTTGTAAAAGTTATTTCTGCAAAAATTTTATGAGGCATTTCTTTAAAAAAACAATATAAACCATGAAAACAAAAAATAATTATTATAAGTAATTTGCCTTTATTAATTTATTTGACTTTAAGATGTATTTTTAGTCAATTCCTTTTCCATTTATTTAAAAAAATAATAATAAACAGGAAGAAGATTTTCTAAAATTGTTGATTGCTTTCTCATACTCTATATTTGTTTGTTTTGCATTATTATTCCAATTATAATATAAAAGTAAAATACAATCATGGTCTATAAAAGTTATTATAGTGATCATCTATGTACATTTTCAAAAGCCTTCCATGATACTATCGATAGTATCCTACGGCCCATCACTACACACACACTAGGTAATGAATGACTTGGCCTAGCGGCGCGTCGACGAAACTCGCGCGCTGCGCGCCGCTATGCGGCGTTACCCCTCGTCCGCTTCCTCATACTTTACCACCCAAATAGTTAAAAATTCACTGCATACAGCGCCTTAAGTGAAATATTTGAGTGTCATCATCATTCAAGTTTTACTTTTCAGGGATCTATTGTCCAGGGATCGAAATAAGTGGTAATCCGATGGCGCGAGATCAGAGCTACATGTTGGGTGTAACATCAATTCCCAACAATCAACAACTTCGATTCGGAAAGCAAAATATGGCGAAGATGTTCGTTTTGCACTCCATGCTGCTATTGAGGTAAATAAAAACTTTAAGAATGTTTACCTAATGCGTGATGCGTAGCGAATTAAACTTGTAAAGGTAGGTAAGGATGACTGAGCTAACATATATGAGAAGAAAAAGATCATAACATGTACGGATATCATAAAAATGGGAATGAGAAACATTCTATAATTGAAATCCACAATCACTTAGTTGGAACAGTCGGAAGGGACTTATCGCGCTCAAAATTTGCTCTATCGACCGTGGGAAGTATTTCTTTTTTTTATATTGAGGTAAACGAACGAATTCAGCTAGTTGGCTGCTGCTAAATTATACAAGACACGAACGTCTTAGTCATTGTTTTCTTTCATTGTTTGAAGAAGCAAGTAAACTCATTGTTCTCAAATTGTTTAGGGAAATGTTTTACGTCGTTGGAAACTGTTGAGGTAGATGCGTATATTGTTGATATGAATGTTTTAAAACAATCACAAAAATTGACACAGTCTTATCTGATACACATTTAAATATAGTTAGATGTAGTAGATAATTAAGTTTTTTTTTCCTAAGTTAGCTTTAAAGTATATTTATAAGTTCATATTACCATTAACACGTGAAATTGTAGTATCAAGAATAGGGAGAGTCTTTTGTATAACGGGTAGGGGTATGTAATAGGCATCAATAAATGTTCATGTTTTAAGGTCTATTTCAATTATATATATATCATCGTTTTAAGATAAATGTTCCTGTTCTGTGCCAGAATGAAATACTTCAGAGTACATACATCTGTCCTTTTAAATGTCGCTTTGTTCGAATTAGTGAACACCGAACGTCCTACAATATTAAAATGACATGAAAAAAGTATATAACGTACAATTTTATGTGAGTATTTCAATTATTATTCAAAACCGTAGGTATATGGAGCAACCCTTTGTTGTTGTAGGTTTTATCGAATATTGTTACAAAATAATGTTCAATTTTTTGATATGCTTATTAAACATCAACTCTTTCAGTTTAATATAAAAAATCATACTTCTAACTATTTTTGAGATAATTTAGTGATTTAGTCCACTTTTAGAACTTAAACAGTGAGCAGGAGGAATTATTACTGAAAGTCTCCTGCCATTATAATTCTTGAACGCATCAAAACAAAATTGTGATGAATAACAAAAGCAATAATTGCAATAACACAAACAAAAGGTTATAATTTTTCAGAATAATAGTGATTTTCAGAAATTACGATCCGGTTTCATAATTCAGTAGCGAATCGAAAAGCTTGAGACTTCATTCCTTCACTCCCCACATGAGGCAATTAAAAGTAAAATATAAACAACAGACGGGACGGCAAACAGTAATGGCGTTGAAGACGTATAGAGACAGAGTACTTTTACCTGCGTATAAGTATAACCCTCGTCCGCAGTGACTGTTCGGTTCAAAATAGACTTGTGTCAACAATGCAACTATAACGAGCTTTTTATTGTGCGATCATGGATCAATAAACGACGTTTATAATCCAGGACAGGCGGTATAACGCATCACGCATCTGCAATAAATACTTCCTTCGTTACAGGAAACGTTTTATGCCACATAAATTATTATTAAAACTCAGATATTACCTTACATTTCCATATGCTGTCATAGAAAATATAAATGTAAATAATTACGTAATACCGTAAGGCGACTGTGGTAGTCTCTTAATAAATATTCCAAGTCGCACCTTGAAGTATTTTATGAAGTTTGCTCGACCTTCGCCTTTTGGTAGGTGACGCGTACACGTAATGTTTACTTGATAAATGTATTCAACGTGACGTTATGTACATTAAACCGAACATGCATTTTAATATAATATTTACTCCGCTCTACGATATCGGCTCATAAAAGTTATTCAAAGTCGTGATTCCTGGAAAATTATGAGGTTGAAACATGTGTAATGAATACAAACGTCGATGAATGTTAATAAGGTCGTTACGATTTAATGATTAGAGGTACCATTATGCATTTGTCGAAGCGCAGCGGAGCGATCAGCTACTCGGGAATGTTTACAACAATAAAATTTCTGTCGGCGGACGTTCGCTCAAGATGGTGGAGGCGTATGCGATGCGTTGTACATGCGGACAATAGTGGAGCGAAGCGTACCGCGAGATAGCTGCTGAGCAGTCGGTAAGGCCAGTATGCCGCGAGACGCGACGCCGTGCGCCGCGACGTCGACCGTCCACCTCTCAGCCGCTAAAACAAACACCACACCATTATCTCGCCGCGATAACAGCCCGTATCAGTTCGCGATAATTTGCCGGAGTGATAACAGATAAAAATTTGAGTGGCCGACGCCTGCTCCTACAGTGCTCCGCTATTATGTAAAAGTTTCACGCTCCGAAGTCTCTGGATTTGTGGTTATGACGACGATGGCGGGACCCCGAAAGATCTCGATTTACGACTACCCGGAGCACCTGAACCCATTTCGGGAAGACGACAACCACAACAAGATCAGGTTTTGGACGATCGGAAGAAAACTCAGCCGATCCAATAGCATCACTTTTAAGGACATTAGGAACTCTTGGTAAGTGCTATGGCATATGATTTCAAACAACCGTATCATAATTCAAAGTGTTGTTACTTACGGTAATGCTATATCTATATGCAACATTCTGGCATCAAACTTAGTACATTTTGCGGTCGCCCGCTCAACCGCACGTCATAATGATCGGTCAAAACGCTCGCTCTTGAAACATTTCTTTGTTTATTGTTTAAGGTTAATACAACGACACCTAATAAAAGGCAAATATTGCTGCATCCGGTTATTAATAGTCTGTATTCAATAGTCCATGCGTCATCGAACTATCAAACACCGCTCTTTAATTGCTTGCCATTGGGCTGTGATTGATTTCACATGATTGGAATATTACCTCTATTAAAAGCATTGATAACAAGCATGACAATGACATTAATAAAAAAATTTAATTGGAATTGTTCAACAATATTCAGCTTAATTAGGTATCTAAGAAACGTATAGTATCGAACGTTATTCAATTTCGAGAACGGTTATTGTTCCATTAACTAAACTAAGTTGATAAATTTTATGTATCAATTAAAGATATTTGATACATAAAATTTACCAACTTTGTTATAGGAATAATACAGCTCACTCAGTACTCTTCACTGCATTTGCAGTGATGACCTGTGTAAGGTCATTGACCAGAGATGGCGCGTGAAGCGCAAAAATGCACTTTGAAACTTTTGTAAGAGTTAATTCTAACTTCAACTTCACTGTAGGAAGGTAGGCATGTGGTCAAGGTAGATAGTTTATATTAATATGATAGTGTATCACAAATATAAACTACAGCACTATATGCCTAAGAAGGCTAACCTAAACGCCGATTGATGGCTTACCTACGACAGTTCATGTTGCCTAAAACCAATGTTATCAACGTAAACCACGTGATTATTGGTTATCTGGTTATTATGGTATGAAAAAGTTAGACTATTATTGGGGTTATGTGGCATGATAATAATATAATTTTTTTCTCCTTATTATTGTCTACAATATTAAGTTTTTATTTTGTATTCCCTAATAGTTGGAAGCAAATATTTTTTCGCTATATAAATTATTTAATACAAAATAATTTCTTCAATCAATCAATTTGTTCCATTAAGATTCATGATTATATATATACAGTCTAAATGAAGAATTTGCTACTATACTTTCCCAAATTTCGAGGCCTTAATGATTTGTCAAGCTACAAATTAATATTGCAATTGCAAAAAAACAATATGTTAAAATATTGTTATCGGGCAGTTTAATTGAATAATAATTAAAGAATTTCTCAATATTTACATATCTATTGTAAAACAAAATACGGATACTTCATATGACAAATTATAAAAATTTTAAGGATTGCCAAGTGCCAACACTATGATTTTGCAATAAAATGTTTAGTTGGAACAAGAGACATATTCATTTATTTTTCGTGCGGAACCATAGGCGTTCCATATACTTGCATGTGTTATAAAGTTAAGATCTAATTGCCTGAATGGAAACGAGGCAGTGACTCACAAAACAACTTTGTTTCGAAACTGATTGTGTCACCATTGGGTTTAATGCATTACAAAAGTATGCGTTACACAAATGTGTGTTCAAGAAATTCTCACATCTCTAAAACCGAATTGTAGATACTAAGATAAAAACCATTTTTACTACCAAAAAACAAACCCAACTTCAAATATCTAATTAACTGTACATTTTCTGTTCGATTTGTATTGATTTGTGGAGTTCCCTGATGTATCTCCGGAGTACAAGGTCCAATTAATTGATATGGGACCACATGGGAGTTAAACCGAGCCCATTCAAAAATAACTTTTTTAATTTTCTCTTTATAAATGACGGAGTTCTAGGGTTGGGAAATATAAAAAATATAGGTACAACATTCAGAAATTACTCCTTTTTGAAGTCGATTGAACGCTTAATTTCTCACGATCCCTACTCAAATCTACAAGAGATCATCGTCTGTCTGTTTCAATTTTATAAATTTACTTAGATATCAACAAATAAGTCACATAAAAATACTGTCCACTAACTTAAATTTGATGAATTTAAAACCAAGAAAAAAAAATTAATCGGAAATCTAGTCGATTGCACTGAGTAATAGAAAATGTTTTTACATTTAAAACTTGCACGATTTCATTCTGGTTTCTAAGTTCGTGCTGTTCATGTAAATTGCCTGACAACACGATACCACTGGCTTAGATTTTCGTTAATAATTTTCACAATAGGTAGAATTCTGTGTTGTGTTAACACAACGCTATGACAACAGAAACTTTTAAAATAATTTGCTTATTTCACTTACTATTGCTAATTGCTTTCGGCTTAGGAACTCTAATTAATATTAATTTTAGGCACGACAAATAATGGTGCCGCATATTATTACCTAATATGAAAAATCAATTTCAAATTTCAATTGACGTTAACGAAGCACTAGAAAAAAGTTCTAACGTAACCTGAAAACTAAATATAAATTCTACGTAACATTTTTTTTATTAAAGTTCTGTGTATGAAGTTCATCTCGCAACGCGAATGGTGTGGTTTATGAAATGGTGTGTCGGAGACCGACGACCAATAGTCACGTAATTCGAGGAAAATTATTTTACAACTGAAAACGACTTAAAAATGTTTCTTGTTGCCCACGTAACTCCTTTTAAAACTTCTCATGTAAAAAAAGAATGATAATTATTGATGATTTTTGATTAAAGAACAATATTAATTTTTACGTACTATGAACGCAAATATATTTGTTTTACTTCAGACGCGCGTTAGTAAGTATCAATGACCTTGAGTTAATTTACTATGAAACATCCCCTTTATATAGGTACAATGTACATACTGTACACTTACATTACATATATAGTGTACACTTATGTAGGTACACACTTGCGGTACTATAAGAAACACTATTAAGTGTATGTATGTACCTTGAAACTAACTTCTTATCAAAATTCAGCATGGATTTCTTGTTGTGCATAATAAATGAGCTATAGTTTATTTATAGTGATGAAGGCACTTTGGATGCACGCGTACCAAGTAATGCTTCGTATAAAATATATGTATTTTGAGTCTGCTTTTTTAATCTTACTGTTAAATTTAAAATTCTCTACATATATTTTGTGTATTTCTCTTACAAAACTTATAGTATTTTCCTCATTGTTATTTGCCTTTCGCTGTGACAGAGCAGCACCATATTGCATACCAGCTCCTTCTGCACAAGTAGTCCAGCCGCAACTGGTAACCACGACCGCACAGAAGATTCATGTGAACTGTTGTAATATTTCGTCTTTTGCCTTTTGATAAGTTTTAATTCCCGACGTTTCGAACCCTTTACATCATTCATGGTCACGGGACACCTGTCGCATTAGTTTCATTTAGTAATGTATAATCGCGTAAATACAAGAAATTATTAACAATTACACATTTAAATAAAAGTAACTTACGATTTTTAACACAGTTTATTTTTATTTTATACAGACGTCGTTTGCTACAGCATTCATTATCACGAGCCGGACTGATATGTCTGGCGTTCTAATGTCTGTCCTGATGTATGACTGCAAACTCGGATTATCGTCAGCTAGAAAATTATTCATTTTATTCCGATAGTCTTGCAGTGGCCATACGCTCGGATCAGAACTTCATTTTGTTGATTATACGCCGATGGTATAACCCAACCATCTTCTCTTTCGATAGACTCGGAAATTCATTCTTGGTATTCATTCTTTTGCGAGGATTTGCGGTTTAAGAAATCAGATGTAATTGTTGGTGGGATTTTTTGTTTGTTCGCGTAATGCAGACATACTTGACCTGTTATGTTTAATGTCAGTCATGTTACTTCACATGACCTTTGATGGCTCTCTTTGTAGGGCCAAAATATGATAGACCATATTCATGGATATTGTAAAAATAGTGCATTTGGCAAATAGTAAAAATATCCTTATCTTCTTCAGGAGCTTGTAAAATGCTTTTCTTGCTGCATCTTGCTCGTGACTCTTCTTACATTTGGAAGAACAGCAATATTCACTCAACTGTGGCTGGTTTCACCCAGTCACCGTGATGAATACGCTGTGCTGGAAGCTTGTTTTCCCACAGAGCTCGATTTACATTACTATTATTGCAGTTTAACTCTCAGCTGATCATTATCACAGATCCCTCGTGCTCTCTGAAACCTATCGAACGTAGGTAACTGCAAAAAGGATAATGGTGAGAGCCTGTATTTAAATATCGATCTGTATGTGTTGCTTTCCTGTGGATAATATGGCTCGAGCTGTTATAAGGATTACGGATAACTGGAAAATCCAGGAATGAAAAACCTGGGTCTAATTTGTAGTGAATTACTTTTTCGATATAAAGAGTTAAGGGTTTTGTAGTACCTACTTTATCAGATGGTAAAATTGTGAAAGTTTCATCTTAATATACCTCGCAGTCTTTGTTCGATCGAAGCTGTAATTAGGACCTTCTTTTTAAAGTCCTCCAATGTCAACAATGGAAGTAGATGGGCAATCCATTGCAAAACCAGCCACCAGTTCATATACAGAAGTCTTCTTTCCACAACAGGCAATGTTTAAGCAAGGATGCCTACTCCTTGGACATGTTATTCGTCTTTATTTTTCTTGGTACAATTGATATACAGTCTTCTATGCAGTTGGCTATGAAGTATGAACAAGGAATGAAAATCAAAGCTAACAATAATTTTATTGTTAGCTTTGATTAGTACTACTATAGGTGAAAGAGATAGGTAGTAAACTTTAAGTTTCTGACCATGATTGCGATATAAGTTTTTTCTTGTTCTAATGTGGTTATAGCCATCTAATCTAGCGATTAATTTGAATTAAGGCCCATTTACACGATGCCATTTTCTTGTACATACAAGAGCAATAATTGAATGCAATAAATTGCGCGCAATAATTGACCATCAAGAATTGTAAGCAACAGTTTACACGCAGATATAGTAAAAAAAATTGAATGCGTTTATTGTATGCAAGTCTTGACAAGAAATAATTGCAAATGTCTTTTGTTTA